TGAGCACAGCCCGCGCCTCTCTTACTTCCTTTCCAGGCTCCTGCAAGTGATGGATGAGAAGAGGCCAGCAGTTTATTTCCCCTGGAAGCCACGTTGCCGATGTGGTGCAGGGTACCACAACTCCTGCTGTTTAATAAAGAACCCTGCATGTGTCCTGGTTAGATGGATGAGCAAATGTTCCTGATTGAAGAACCACATGGCTTCCCTGTTACAAATGGATAGGAGGGGATGGGGCTGAGGCTGAGGCTGGGAGACTGAGATGGGGAGCCAGGTCTGAAAGTAGGGAAGAGTACAAAGGGTCAGCTGCATTGCTACACTCCCCTAGGGGCAAAGAACTCCTCCGTACTGTGGGTGGCTGCTGCCCTCTGATGGGCACAGGGACACAGTTTCCTTTTGTTCTATAGGGAAGGTTTGGGTCCAAAGTATTTCCAACTGAGCATTGTAGGGTGTGTCCCAAAGGGATGTTGGAGCAGCCTTCTCAGGATTCTTTCCCCAGTGCACACTGCAGCCAGGACTGGGAAAGCCTCCATATAGCTAGGGCCCTGAAGCTTGCAGTTTAGACTTTGGGTATGAAATTTTGATTTCTACGGTGATGAGGGGGCAAGAGAGGAGGAGAAGAAAGAGAGAGGAATGTGGAATTCCAAACCAACTGTATTCAAATGATCCATCCCATTTCCTTTGTCTATTTGTCTTTATCCTGGATGGAGTTAACCCATGGCCTTAAAAATCTGTTTTTTATTTCAATACTTCCTCTGCTGAGTTGTGTGTTTAAAACTAACTGGGCCATTTTCTTTTAAGCGTAGAATAAATGCTTAAAAGCTAGGGTTTCATAAATCTGATGTTAAACGTTCTCCCTTTCCCCCCGTCACTATCAACCAGACATCCATCCAACCAAAATGTGCTGAAAGTAGATGGGGTTTGAGGAGAAAGGGAAACACTTTTCATTGCACCTTTCGTACTTTTTGAATTGTCTACCTACCCTGTGTTCAGGTTATGCCATTTAAAAGTAATTATTAAAAAAAGGCATTGGGTACTTCTGTTCTGTACAAATGTTCTTCAGGGTGCTGCAGTCCTGCACACAGGTCAGTTCCTGGGCCCAATGGGATGGCAAACACTGTCTGTGTTCCAGGATCCAGGAGCGCCCAGATCTCCTGGCCAGTGAGATTCCTCACCCTTGGTTCTGTCTGATAAGCTGACCTGAGGAACGATCTCCTGTCTCTGGGAGGACCTGGGTACTAGGTCTGTGTGTGCAAGCTGGATGTCATGTTTGTTCTGGGTGTGTTCTCACGTGATCTTGCATGGTGCAGGCTATGATTTATTTGTAATTTTTAAAAATAAATCTATATAGTTTTATTAAGACAAAAACTGACAATGTTGGTATGAAGTTTAACATTTAAACAAAAGTTTTCACAGAAACCTAACCCATGCCTAAAAAGATTTTACAAGGGAGTTCTAGATGCAGGTCTAGATGATGTCAAGAACTGATGGATATCATGATTCAAGACAGCATTTTGGGTTTTAGTTAATTCTTAGGATTAAAAAAATTTGTTTTGTTTTAAAGTGAACCACTGCCCCAGTATGAAAATTTAATCTTCTCCTGAGACCAGGGCTTCTGAAATCATTCAATTCTTGAAGTGATTCAGTGAATTTGTGCTGTCAGTGACTGAACCCTGCCACCAATGGTTTCAAAGTTCAAAAAACAGAGGCTCCAAGAGTTTTCCACCTAAGAGCACCAGCCCTTGTCTTTGCCTCCTCTCCCACCTCCGGTACCACCCTCTGCCCTTCCCCAGATACTTCAGCCAGTGGCTTGGATGGAGAAGCTGATATATATAACTTCATAATTGGAAAAAAAGGGTCTTCTTGTCAATTTCAAGAATTAGCACCTCTAAGACAGAATGATCTGTCTGTGTATACACTCCCATAAGACTTTTCCTCCTCAACCAGTTTCCATCCCTCAAATGGCAGCTTCGGTAACTTCTTAACAGGCTTAGTCCTTTCTTGGGAATAGCATTAAGCTCAGGCAGGGAACACCTTGGATTCTAAGTTTCAGGTATTCACAGCTTTCTTTTTCTATTTTTTTGAACATCCTTATTGGAGTATAATTGCTTTACAATGGTGTGTTAGTTTCTGCTTTATAACAAAGCGCATCAGCTATACATATACATATATCCCCCTATCTCCTCCCTCTTGCGTCTCCCTCCCACTCTCCCTATCCCACCCCTCTAGGTGGTCACAAAGCACCGAGCTGACCTCCTTGTGCTCTGCGGCTGCTTCCCACTAGCTATCTATTTTACATTTGGTAGTGTATATATGTCAATGCTACTCTCTCACTTCGTCTCAGCTCACCTTTCCCGTTCCCCGTGTCCTCAAGTCCATTCTCTATGTCTGCGTCTTTATTCCTGTCCTGCCCCTAGGTTCTTCAGAACCTTTTTTTTTTTTTAGATTCCATATATATGTGTTAGCATATGGTATTTGTTTTTCTCTTTCTGGCTTACTTGACTCTGTATGACAGACTCTAGGTCCATCCACCTCACTACAAATAACTCAATTTCATTTCTTTTTATGGCTGAATAATATTCCATTGTATATATGTGCCACATCTTCTTTATCCATTCATCTGTTGACGGACACTTAGGTTGCTTCCATGTCCTGGCTATTGTAAATAGAGCTGCAATGAACATTGTGGTACATGACTCATTTTGAATTACGGTTTTCTCAGGGTATATGCCCAGTAGTGGGATTGCTGGGTCGTATGGTAGACCCATTTTTAGTTTTTCAAGGAACCTCCATACTGTTCTCCATAGTAGCTGTATCAGTTTACATTCCCACCAACAGTGCAAGAGGGTTCCCTTTTCTCCACACCCTCTCCAGCATTTATTGTTTGTAGATTTTTTGATGATGGCCATTCTGACTGGTGTGAGGTGACATCTCATTGTAGTTTGGATTTGCATTTCTCTAACGATTAGCATTCACAGCTTTTAAACAGTCTCTCGCAGTCCTCATTTAGGTTGCCAATGACATTTTTTGAAAGGATGAAATATTCTGGACACAGAACCAAATCATTATTAGTTGTTCTTTCCTTTGTTTCACCATTTCCCCCATCAGGCCCCAAATTTTAACAAAAATTATCCTAACCCATCTCCCTTCTTTCCCACCCCATCCCTCCCACCCCAAATAATACACCAGTAATAGCCAAAAACTACATATATGCTACGCTGTAAAAATGCAGAGTTAACACTATTGGGAAGAAGGCTGTGGGTTGTGGAGATGCTCTTTTGAAGATCTACAGTATCTTTTGCTCTCCCACATCCCATTCTGCAAGTTTTGTCCTTCATAGAAGGCCCTTTGCTTTTCTCAGCAAAGTTCAGAATGGGTTGCCTTGAAACACTGACCCTCCTTCCCCTCCACTGGGATGGGTGTGCAAACCAGCATGGAGTGACTTTAAAGCACTTGGGCTGCTGTAGGGCACAGAAACTATACTGGCTCTTCAAAGGACATCTTCTCAAGCCACCTCTATGGTGTCAAGACAAGTAGAACTCCTTTCCCCACTTGAACCCCACAGACAGATGTGACAGGGGCTGGTACTCAAGAGAGTTAATTCTTGTCATCTTTTTTGTCATCATCCTCCGAGGGGTAGGAATGCCACGTCAGCCTTCCCTCATAGAAGGATATGACAACCTGTGGGCACTTGACATTGGCGTCCTTGGCAGGGACCAGGTCAACCTCATCAGAGTTTTTCCATTTCATCAGAAACATGAGTTCTCCACTGGAGTCTGTAGCTCCAATAATCCACTGCGGTTCCAAACCCTGGGCAAAGCCTCATGCCTTTTCTGACTCTTCTTTTCTTCTTTGGTTCGCTCTCCTCCCCCTTATCTTCCGAATCAGAATCAGCTTTGCGCTTGCCTCATTCTGATTTATCTGTCTCGTGTGCTGTTTTCTGTGATGCAGGAACTCGGCAATGAGGTCGGGGCGATCCAGGTTTTCTTCTGGCTCCCATGTGTCGTCCTCATCTGAGAACCCCTTCCACTTTAGGAGGTACTCCACTTTGCCCTTTCCCTCTCGATGGTCGAGAACTTTTCCCGCCACATATTCTTCTTCCTCTTCTTCTAGCATCTCCTCCACTTTCTTCTTGTTTTGTTTTTTCCCCATAGTGCCCGCCAGCTTTCTGGTATAAAGGGTGACGCTGCTCAGAGCAGCGCCCACGAGCCCGAGGGAAATCTGTTCTGCGCTCCAGGCGCGTCTTGTCGGGCCGGCCGTGGGAGTGGCGACCAGTAAAGCAACAAGACGGTTGACTGCGGTTGAGCCCCTCACTGAAGCGGCGTACTGCAGGCCCCGGCCAACGGCCCTCCTTATTTTTTTTTTTTTGATTAATGTCTGTCTACCCCCACGAGACTGTATACCCCATGAGGGTAGGGGTCCCATCTTTTTTTAGCTCACCAATTTTATCCTTAGTGCCTGGCACATAGTAGGAGCTCAGTAAATATTTTTTTGAAAGAATGTGTATGATATGTGCCTATTTGTACTTTAGTAGCTATAATTTGTCTGCGAAGTGTTAAAGGCAGAGTTGTAGTTATCTGTTATAGTGTGACAGACGTCTCATATTCTCTGAGAACATGAGAATTGTCCGAATGATGTATGTGACGTACTTGTGTTGATGTGTATTCTGGCTGTGTTTTATGCACGTAATCTGGGAGTCTGTGGTGGCACTTCAGAAAATATTTATTAAACATCCATCATATGTTAGATCCTGGGTTAGGGCCAGAGTAAAACCAACTTCTCCGGCCTGCCCTGCTGGGTTTGGTATCGATCTCCAGGAGGTTAGATTGTAAGCAGTGCAGGAAATAGCGAAGCCAAATTTCTTTACAGCGGCGGGGGCGGTACTTGGATTAGGGGTGGAACCCCGCTCAAGAAGCTCCGCCCCCGGGCGTCACGATTTTTTCCTTCCGGGATGTTTTTTCCCCCTTCTACCACGTTTTCCTCCGGACTCTTTTGAGTGAAGAGCACTTCCGGAGTCTCCGGGCAGCTTGGCGTGGTCCTCTGACTAAAACCTGTTACTTGACTCGCGTGCGCGAAGCCGCGCGCTTCTGTTTCTCGGCCTTATGGCCGGGCTGACCCTGTTTGTGGGCCGCCTCCCGCCCTCGGCCCGCAGCGAGCAGCTGGAGGAGCTGTTCAGTCAGGTGGGGCCGGTGAAGCAGTGCTTCGTGGTGACTGAGAAAGGTAGGGGGCGGGGCGGTCGAGGACAAAGTTGGGGTTCCTGGGAGCCGGATGGGGGCGAGGACACCCAAATTTAAGCGACCCGTATAATCCTTTACCTGCCCCATAGTGAAAGGACTTAGAAGTTGAATTTCTTTTCTAAACGGACCCTGCTTTAGATGAATCCATACGGGCCGTTTCTGAAAGTCAAATCAGTCCCTTAAGTTTATGTAGCGCTTTCCGTTTATTATGCGCGCTCACATATAAGATCTTATTTGGTAGTAAATAACTAACTTTTAATAAAACACCAGTAAGGCTTATTGAGAATCAACTGATTGCCACGTGCGGTGCTTGAGTTCCATGTGTTATCTCATTTAATTTCCCCATCGGTCTTGTTGGGTGGAGAGTTAACTCCATTTTACAGACGAGGAATCTAGGGCTTAGGGAAATTTAGTAATTTCAGCTTAAGTTCATACAGCTAGTAAGTAGTGGATTCAGAATTTGATCACCAGACTGGGAGCTCTTAACCAGTATGTTATTCATTCGCCCAGTTATTTATTCCGTAAATATTAATTGAATGTGTATTTTGTGCCAGGCAACTATTGTAGGTCCTGGGGATACAGCAGTGCACAGAACCAAACCAAAAACCTTGCTCTTGTGTTCAAGATGGGAAGACAGCCAATAAGCAAATAAGCAAAATATGTAGTGCTAACGGTGATAAATGTTGAGGAGAAAAATAAGGCAGAGAAAAAGGATAGGGAGTCTCTGTAGATGTGTGTGTGTGTGGTGGTGGGGAAGCTGTAGAGGGGTGAGAGGTAGCCAGGGAAAGCCTTTCTGATGTGAGAGAGTGAACATGTGTTTCTCAGTGGGAGGAGCAGCCTAGGCAGAGGAAGCTAAAGGATACTGAAGAGGAGTGTGTGTAGTATATTGGAGGAATAGTGACGAAACCAGGGTGACTGGAATGCAGTGAGTGAAGGGAAGAGAATTAGCAGATGAGATCTGGTGCTACCAGATCATGTAGGACCTTACAGGCCGTTGCAAGGACTTTGGCTTTTACTCTGAGATATGAAGCCACTGGTTTTGAGCAGGGAGCAGTAGATATGATATGGCTTGCATTTTGGAAGATTCTCTCAGGCTGCCGTGTTGAGAATAGGCTGCTAAGAATAGGACAGAAGCGGGGAGACCAGTTATTAGGCTCTTGTGGTAATCCAGGTGAGAGAGAGGTCATGGTGTTGGACCAGCTGTTGTAGCTGTGAAGGTGGTAAAAAGTGATTGCAACATGGATATTTTTGAGAGTAGAGCTGAAAGAATTTGCTGATGGATCAGATGTGGAGTATGAGAAAAAAAGAGTGTCAAGGAGTCAGGTCTGACTCCAAGGGTTTTGGCTTGAGCTGCAGGAGATATTCACTGACTTGTGGAATACTGCCATATGCTTTGCATTCTGTTTGATGATTATGGCATCACGATGAAGGAGGGTTAGCATGTATTAGACTGAGGAAGAATTGTAAGGGTTTTGATTGTAGCAGCATTTCTTACTCTTACCTAGACTGTGTCAAGGGGCACCTGATGTTGCCCAGAACATAAATTTAGCTTCCTTCCAAGTCATCAGTGTGTCTCTGTAGTACCTCCCTGTCTTTCAGGAGAGCAACTGGAGGGAAGTAACATCCTGTGTGCCTCTCTTTCCCCCCATGGTGTCCAAGTATGTGATGAGTAGGCAGGCTAATAGTGTGCTAATAATCAGTCTGTCCTTATCTTCTATTTTGTTAGTAACAGAAATTAGAGTTAGGATTGTCGACATGGCTCTGATTGCTATACAAACCATAGCAGCTGCCTGGTTCTTTGTCATTTTAAGTATAGATATGGGCAAATGAGAGAATGAGAATGAGTGCTGTATAGCAGTGTTTCTTAAACTGCAGATCATCGTCCATTAGTGGGCCTTGAGTGGGTCATGATTAGAGATTTTTTTTTTAATGAAATAGGAGTATATCTATACATGGTAAAGGAGAAGTTTTCATAAAACTTTTTTTTTTCAGTTTTGTAAAAAACTGCATCCTGGATCCACTATAAGTTACGTTTGTTACTGTGGGTTATGAAAACAATTGAGAAACGCTGCTCAACAGTGGTTGGTTGTGTTCCGGGGAGGAACAGGCCTTTGAATGGGAATTCTCCTTTTGGGTCCTCAGAATATAGGCTACATGTAACCTTACCTGTAGCTTGTGTATGTAGTCTGCATCTTTAACAGAAGCTGCTATTCCCTTTTTAAGAAAAAACGTGCTTTTCTGTCCAGGCAGCCAGATGTCCTGAATGCTGTACTTAGTGGGATAGGAGGGAGGGGGTGTGCCAGTAGTGGTGACCTGGACATGCCACTTAACCTCTTTAAGATGGGAATAATTTCACAGGATTGTTGTAAAGATTCAAGTAAATGTGTGAGAGTGCTTTGTGCAGACATAAACAACGCATGGTGTGTTTGTGAGCAACACGCTTCTGTTTTGTCACTGAACTCCTTCACCTTTCAGCTGCTTCGTTTTTGGTTGTACTGATCAGGAAGGGCCCTGATTTTTCTTGTTCTTGTTTTCTGAAAGGTGAGTGGGCAGGCTTTTGTGAGAAGGAGTTTCAAGAGATAAAGAGATCACCAGATCATAGTATGCTTTCCTAGTGCCAAGTGTCAGCTTTAACCAGTTTACGTGGATCAGCGTCCTGTGTTAGAGGGCTTGTACCCAGAAGCAGATTGGGGTGTAGTTGTAAAAGGAGAGCGTGTGAGCTCTGTTTCTTCTTTGGGTAGTAAGCAGACTACTTGGTCTGTCCTTTTCTTTTTTGATGCAGTAAATTACTTAAAATTTTACTACACAAAAATATTAAACTGAAAAAAAAATACCAAAAAGGGCAAAGGTGGGTTACAGTTGATAATTGCAACTGTTTGTCTTAAATGATTCGTTTGGAAAAAAGCGATGATGATATTGGCTTTTCCCTTCTTGGTGTGTTCTGACAAAATGAGATAAGAGGTTTACAGCTGCTTTAGAAAGGTTTAATTTGATATTGATTTCTAGGGCTTGGTAATAATTGTAATAGTGTCTGCAGGCTTCTGAAGCAATGTTTATTGTTTGAGGTTCTTTTTTCAGGGCCCCTGGCATTCATTGCCGATCTGTTCTGTGGAGCGGTGGCTGAATTATTTCTTTGTAATTTTTGAAGCTACCATACTTACCTTTCCTACCTTCTCTGGTGATGTTTTGTTCTGTTTGATGTTGAGTTCTTCTTCGGGGGTGTAATGCATATCATGGGTCCTCCATATTCTTGAAATTATCAGGAAAGAAGGAAGAGAGGGAGCTAACAGCAAAGACACCACATTAGAAGAGGAAGCCTAACGATTTCTGAACAAAGAGGGGACAGGGGCCACTCATGCTAACCTTGTCTCTTTCTCTTTTGAGAATTTTGGCAGACTGGCTGGCCTGGCTGTATATCTGCTAGTTTAGGGCTGTGAGAATTTACTGGTTTAGGGATCTTGGCTTACTGTTAATCCCCCCTCCCCCCATCCCCATACTGTTCCAGGGAGTAAGGTATGTCGAGGCTTCGGCTATGTCACTTTTTCTATGCTGGAAGATGTTCAGAGGGCCCTCAAGGAGATTACCACCTTCGAAGGCTGCAAGATCACCGTGACTGTTGCCAAGAAAAAACTGAGAAATAAGTCCAAGGAAAAGGTGAAAACTGGTGAGTTTCTAGTAGCTGAAGGGAGTTTTCCCCCAGGATTGAGGGGGCAGTGGATTGGCTCTGGGAGTAGTGTCTAGGCCTAAAAGCTTCCTGAATTTCCTCTTGATGTCCAAAATCATCCAGTGTATTTTGTTACTAGTTTTAGTCTTTTGTTTACTTCTGAGTCTGGAAAACCTGGTGTCCCTGGGCATTGCCATACTTAACTCTGTGTTAAATGCCATCTGTTGCTAGTAGCTTCTTTCCTGTGATGTTCTGGGCCGAGGGGATCACAGATTTACTTCATTGCCATTTATTTTTTAGAAAATTCAAAGTCCCCAAAGAAGGAGCTGCAGCCTAAAAAAGCCAAAGTGGCAGATAAGAAAGCCAGATTAATTATTCGGAACCTGAGCTTTAAGGTAAGAGACAGAGAAAACTAACAGTGAGTGTTCTGAAAGCTCTTGGAGCCAAGGCATGCTCATTGGTCAAACTTCTCACCAGGATGGTATAATTGGGCTTAATTCCTTCTGGGAACGAACTTTAGCCTTGTTGAATTCAGAAAATGGGCCTGTATAAACAAGAACTTATTAAGGACAGAGACTGTGAAGATGCCTTGGGGAAACTACTGCTGAGAAAGGGAGGGAAGGAAAAGCTCTCTGATATCTGTCCTTTTTGCCTGTATAGGTACAAAGCAAGATGTTGTCTATTTTGAAATGTTTGGTGTCCTAGTCTCAAAATTTAAAAAGGAGTGCAAATATTCAAGCTCTTCCTAGTGAACTAATTGAATAGTTGATGTTTTGTGTTCATTTGCTGTGATAATATCTCTTTTTCTTTCTTCACTTTTGGCTTCAGTGTTCAGAAGATGACTTGAAGACAGTATTTGCTCAGTTTGGAGCTGTCCTGGAAGTAAACATCCCTAGGAAACCAGGTACTGGCAAACCTTTATTTTGTGTGGATTAGATTAAGGTTATTTTACATAATGGTCTTTTTCTGTATCACCTTTGAACTAAGCAGAAGCACAAGGTTCGGGTCATACTGTGTGAGCCCCAGATGATATGATATGTGTAAAGTATCAGGCACAGTGCTTGACAAATAACAGTGTTTAGTCCCCTTATGGTATTGTTAGTTAGATCAGAACTACTTTTAGAAGACAAGTTACAGCTTGAGAAAATGCATTGCTCTCCCCAAGCCTGTGTCAGGGTAACCTCAGCAGGGTATAGGCTTGTGCTTTGGTCAAGGGGCTGACTGGTTGATAGGATTTGGGTCTTCTTGCCAGTCCAGGTTGCTGTAACATCCTTCTTAGTGTCTGTTGGTTCCCTACCTGCTACCTCTAACTTCTTTGTTGTGTTTGCACACAGATGGAAAGATGCGTGGTTTTGCTTTTGTTCAATTCAAAAACCTCCTAGAAGCAGGAAAGGCTCTCAAAAGCATGAACATGAAAGAGATAAAAGGTAAGTTTTCTGTGCCCATACCATTGACTCATTGATATTTCTGGTGTTTAGGCAAATTAGCACAGTAACCCACTTTCTACATTTTTAAAAGGTGTTTGCCTTGTTGAGAGTCTCATTGCTAATATTGAAGCTTGTTTTGGTGAAATATTCCTAGTACTTGATCTTAGGGTTAAACTTGAAAGGACCCATGCTGTCCTTCTCTTTTCTTTTTTTGGTGATGAGTGTCCTTTTAAATTCCTAATGAAAAACTGTCCCTGACTGATAGAGTCAGGTTGCTGTCTAGAGGATGTGGGATTAGCAGGTTCCTTCGTCTTGGTTATGATCACTATTCAGCATCTGTGGGCTTTTTTTTTTAATTATAAATTTATTTATTTATTATTTATTTATTTGGCTGCATTGGGTTTTCCTTGCGGCGAGCGGGGGCTACTCTTTGTTGTGGTGCGTGGGCTCTAGGTGCACAAGCTTCAGTAGTTGTGGCACACGGGCTCAGTAGTTGTGGCTCACGGGCTCTAGAGCACAGGCTCAGTGCTTGTGGTGCACGGCTTAGTTGCTCCGTGGAATGTGGGATTTTCCCGGACCAGGGATCGAACCTGTGTCCCCTGCATTAGCAGGTGGATTCTTAACCACTGCGCCACCAGGGAAGTCCACCTGTGGGCTTTTAAACTGACCTTGACGTTACTCTAGGTATTGATTTACCAGGTACAGTGCCTAAAGAAGGTATTGGCTTGGAGACTTCCTAACTTCTGAGTGACGCGCAGTTATTCCAGAATGTCTATTTTCCCCCTTGCTAGTATAACTGGAAACTTGGTCTAACTGGAAACTCTGTTCTGATTCTTACTCTATCTTGTTGCAGGTGTAGTGGCTGTGTAGAAAGGCAAAACTTCTGTTCAATGATAAAAAGGTTAAGGGTTAAAAGAATAGACACCTACCAGGAGTTTTATTTTAAGACCAACAGTCTCTGAATCCGCAGTTTCTTCGTCTCCTTTGGTTCCATTACTGTCTTTGACGAATAGGAAGTCATTTATAGGAAATAGGAATGTTAAAGAGAAGGCCTTTCTGATGCTACTTTTCTGTCTGACAGGGCGGACAGTGGCTGTGGACTGGGCTGTGGCAAAGGATAAATATAAAAATACACAGTCTGCCTCTGTCACAGGTAAGATGCAGTGGTGTTGGGTAGGAGGGGTTTTATGTCCTAACTGTTTGTCAGTCTGTATTGTACCATCTGGTGATTTGGTCCCAAAACAGGATCTTTTGAATCTAAGCCCACTCCTTGATGTGGATGTGAAGAGTGGGGCCCAAGTTCATTGTCCCTACTACTTGCTGTACTTTCCCAGCTTTCATAATAGAGAGTGATGGAACATTAAAAATAGGGAAACTTAAAACTTGATTTTTATTTAGAAAACAATTGGCTTTTAAGCCACCAGGAGCTCAGAGAACAGAACTCACAGAGATTAAATTTCATGGCTGGGCTCCAGAGCATGCATTGTGCTGGCCATGGTGCACAATGATAGGCTGTTTGCAGAGGCTCAGTTGCTGAGCCAGGTTAACCTTAAGGCTTCTGATGAATGGGACAGCCTCCGAGGGAATCTCAGTGATGAGGGGTTTTTGTTTTTTTGCTTTTTTTTCCCCATATTTTTCCTATTATGTACAGTAAGAAAAATATATGAGCTTCTGTAAAACCAAAGGAACCGGGAACTTGGGGTATTAGTTACTCTTGTTTAAATAACCTTGTTTTGGATACTAAATGAATTCCTAACTTTCTTTACCAACTATGTATGTAGGTGAGAAGAAGAGGCCTGAACCTAAATGTCAGGAATTAGGTCAAGAGAATGGCAGGGAAGAAGAGGATATGGAGGAGGAGGAGAATGATGGTGGTTATGATGATGACGAAGATGATGAAGAAGAGGAGGAGGACGAGGAGAATAGAGAGTCGAAGCTGACCAAGCCTGTGCAAATTCAGAAGAGGTACGTGGCTCAGTGTGTTCTGAGACAAGAGAGGAAGATTCAGGGTTGTCCGTGAGAGGAAAATGATCTCTTTCCCTGCCCCCGTCATTGCAGAATTAACATGTGCAGTGAAGTTGGAGAGGCAGGCCCTTCCCTCATCCCAGAACCTTAGCTCTGATCTGTGCCATTGCAGAGCAGTCAAGAGGGCAGCACCTGCAGAAAGCAGTGAAGAGGAGCATTCTGATGACGACAGCGACCTGGAGGAAAGAGACAGCATGGATGGTGGAGAGGACCTGGCTCAGAGTGATGCCGACACTGAAGAGCAAGAGGAGGGAGGTTTGCCTTGAATTTAAAAGGAGTCACTGAGAAATGTGCATCAGTTCAGCTCAGTCCTCTTTTTAAATAGGACCCTGAGGTGTCCTGTCAAATTTATGTTTAAATGCTGAAAATGAAACCTTTATATTCTTTTTTTTTTAAAAATAAATTTATTTATTTATTTTTGGCTGCGTTGGTGCAGGCGGGTTTTCTCTAGTTGCCGTGAGCGGGGGCTACTCTTCGTTGTGGTGCGCAGGCTTCTCATTGAGGTGGCTTCTCTTGTTGTGGAGCACGGGCTCTAGGCGCACAGGCTTCAGTAGTTGTGGCACGTGGGCTCAGGAGTTGTGGCTCGCGGGCTCTAGAGCTCAGGCTCAGTAGTTGTGGCGCACGGGCTTAGTTGCTTCGCGGCAGGTGGGATCTTCCCGGGTCAGGGCTCAAACCCGGGACCCCTGCATTGGCAGGCGAATTCTTAACCACTACTCCACCAGGGAAGCCCCTATATTTCTTTCTTTTAAAGGTTTTTTGTGTTTTTTTAATGAGTTTGGAATAGTGTTTGAGGATTAACATTCTTAGGGAATTTAAAACCTAGCTTAATGCTGAGGCACTGCCTCTGTCTCTCTCAATTACCCAAATTGAATGAATAACTGCATAAACAGGATATTGCATCCTACCACCAAAATGGGTTCTATTTAATTAATTAAATTTAATTTATTTACTTCTGTACTGAAATTACATTTTATTAAATGTAACAAACTCAGGAAGGGAAACACTTGTATTTTTCCATCCATGCTGTTGTCTGTAAACAACAGATAATACGGAGTAGATTTGAAAGCCCAAAGATGGTGTTTTTTTCCCCTCATTGATTAGAGGTATTATTTTAAGTGTGTCTGCAGTGTTAGCAAACCCCAGAACATCAGCTTAGTATGTTCTACTCAGAGTCAGAGGTACTTGAATCACTGGCACCTTCCAGGATGAAGACTGACAACAACAATAAAATAATCCATTATGATAGTAACAAACTACTGAACTCAGAATTTCTTATCTGGAAAAGCTCAGTTCTTTTAAGCAGTCTTTTCTGCCTTTTATCATGGGCTTAGGAGTCAAATCATGTGGGTTCAAGTCCTGGCTTTTCCATTTCTAATTGTCTGGTTCTGGTCAAGTCCTTGCCTCTAGTTTCCATATTACTTCATCTGTGATTGGATGTTAGAGGTCCCCATCTCCTGACATTGCGGAGAGTACCTTCCCAACAGTATTAGCTGCCTTTGTTGCTACTAATCTTATTTTTATGCGCCTCCCTCCCCCCACCCCGTCACCAACAATCTTCTAAAAAAATGTGTGAGTCTCATTAAGTTAGATGTAAGATGGCTGCTGATAAAATCTTCTGCCTTTAGTGGTCACTGGGAAGGAGGCGGAGGCAGTCTGAGCATTCCACTACTCCATTCAGTTGAGCAAATCAAGCCTCCTTTCCTCATCATTCGCTTAAAAAGAAACATTTATTGAACACCTACTAATGTTAAACTTTGGGCTGAACAGAAAAAAAAATCCTTGTTCTCTAGGAGCTTTTGATCTGGCTCCACTACTTTCAGTCACAAAGGATTGGCAAGAAAACAAGCAAAGACCAACAAAAACACTTCTGCACTTTCATCAGAGTTTTTTAAAAATGTAGATGAACTAATTTGGAACTGATGAATGAGCACTTCTGTGCACATCCTCCCCATGTGGTATGTAAATGCCCATGTGTTTGCTCTTTGGAAAGGTTGGAATAGATGCTTCATGTGCCAGTGATTTTTATACCTGTCATGAGAGAAAAATGTACTTTTTTTTTTTTTTTTTTTTACTATTACTACACCTTCGTTTATTCAGACAACAAATATTCAGAGTGCCTGCAGTGCTAGACACTGGGTGAACAGGAGTTAAAAGAAAATAAAACGCCACATTTCCTAGAGATCACAATAATAGCTTGTTTGGCAGAGGGTTTCAAATCCTGTCTCTGCTCCTTTCTTAAGGTATGACTTTGGGGCAAGTTACTTAACCTCTTTATACCTCAGTTTCTTCATCTATAAAATGGAGATAATAACCACATAGGGTTGTTGTGAAGATTAAATTATTTGTGTGACTAATGCCTTGTACTACTAGTATTATCATTGTTACTGTTCTGTGGCAGTGGTGGAGTATAAACAACAATTTTGAATTGAAATGGGGATAAAGGACCTCCTGGGGCATTTTGTAAAACTGTAACCAAACCATATTGCTACTTTTATCAAGAAGGTTGGGTTTAAACTCAACTAGTTTATTGAGGGAGGCAGGTCATTACAGAATGAGGAGCAGTCAGTGAGTGGTCCTTTAGTTTGTCTGGGTGGAGGTTTTTATTCACTTATCAGGTCTCCCTTCTCCCTTTTCTGTAAGTCTGGCATGTTGATTTGACCATATGAGAAATCTGAGGAAATAAGCTTTTTCTGTGAGGAGAGAATAGTAGACACCTTAGAAGCAAAGAAGCTTTTATTCTGAAGGAACTGAGAGACCTTGCATTCTACAACCAGATTCAGCTGTCTCTTACCATTCTTTCACTTGAAAAAATTATAAGACTGATGGATAATAATGAGAGAAAATTAATTAAAAATACAGTACAAAAAATATAAATAGTGCAGAAGGGTGTAATATAGAAATTTATGTAAGATCTTAATTTATGTAAGATCTTTAAAAGTTCCTCACCAGTCCTCCCAGTAGTCCCCCAGAGTAATTTCTGTTACTTCTTTTGTATCCTTCCAGAAATTTTCCGTGTATATATAAGCATATGTCTGTTCTTTTTTTTTTTTTTTTTTCTGTATGTGGGCCTCTCGCTGTTGTGGCCTCTCCTGTTGCTCTGGACGTGCAGGCTCAGCGGCCATGGCTCACGGGCCCAGCCGCTCCGCGGCATGTGGGATCTTCCCGGACCAGGGCATGAACCTGTGCCCCCTGCATCTGCAGGCGGACTCTCAACCACTGCGCCACCAGGGAAGCCCCTGTGTCTATTCTTAAAATCAATGAGTCTCCCCTAAACCCAAATCCGCAGCCACTTTGGGCCCCTCCCCAGAGACAACCAGTGTTTCTTGTGTATCTAAGGATAGTTAATGCTTTTATAAGCATTAACTTACGTAGAATATAATGTAACTTACGTAGAATATAATGTATATTTGTGTATGCGAATGTAGATATATATTTTTTTCTCCTCAAATGTTTACATTTTGTATTTCCAGAAAGTTTACACTGTCACAACAGTATATGGGAATCTCTCTTTTTCCCCACACCCTTACCACAATGGATTTCATCTGTCTGTTTTGTTGTTTGCCAATCTGTTGGTGATAAATAGTATCTCATTTCTTGTGCTGTGTTTTTCTTTATGAGTGCGTTTGAGCATCTTCGTATATTTTAGTTGCATATCCTTTGTTCATTTTTAATTGGAGTTCTTAATTTATGTAAGATCTTTATATATTTAAAAGCCTTTGTTGTAAGGCTTGTACTAGTCTTTTTCAGTTTGTTGTTTTTCTTTTTACTTTGGATATACAAGTCTCGAAAAAGAAGAAGAAGAGGAAATTACCCTCTGATGTGAATGAAGGGAAAACTGTCTTTATCAGGTATGACTTTCTATCCTGAGAACTGCTGTTTGTGTTACCTTCATAGGTTTCTTTTCTTCCCTTCTTCCTCCCTCCCTTCTTTCCTTTCTTCGTTGGCTTCTTTTTGCACTAATTCTGTTAGCTAGGCCAAAAAGTTAGATGCATCGAAGACCATTAGCACATCTGCCTAGGAACATAGCACACAATGAGAAATGTGTAGGAGAATCAGAAGTATACACAGAAGATAAATAGCAGGGGTCTTTATATCTTGTCCTCATTTAGATTTCATTCTTTGTAATTGGGGTGGGATCATTTGGAACAAATCAGTTTTTCAACTATTAGAACCATCTTGCTTCTGGCCTCTGTTTTAGGGTGAGTGCTGGGGAGGGGTGATACCACTTATCCCAAACGAATTCTCTCTTCATGCCTAACTTATCTTCTACAGTCATGTCCAGAGTATAGTGAGGCATCCCATCTGTTTCCTGGAAAACTGAGGGAGGGAGATAGGTGTTGTATCATGTTGCCATTGCTGTTTTAGTCCTACTGACTGCAGTAGGTTGGTGTTTTCAGGAGGTTGGGATATCTTCGGCATACCTCAAGCATGCCTTCTCATCCTTTCTTAAGTACCATTGTGCTAGGGCCATTTGGGTCTTATTTTAAAGATGTCTATTTTATTCTCTTGTATAGTCTTTTAAGATTGTTTTCATTATACAAATAATTTATGTTTATTGTGGGAAATATAGGAAATGAATAAGCAAAAAGTTAACCTTAATCACTGCTTGGGGAACACCCACACACATGTTCATAACATCATAAATATTTACAAAGATGATTTTAGCCTATACATGCTGTGCTGTAGCCCATTTTCTTTCTTTCTTTCTTTTTTTTTAATTTTTGAATTTAATTTTTTTATATAGCAGGTTCTTTTTAGTTATCCATTTTATACATATTAGTGTATAAATGTCCCATTTTCTTTCTTTATAGCATGTCTTTCCATGTTTTTTTTTACTGTGTTATTTGTAATTTCCATATAATTTTGTATTTGTAGAGGATTCTATGTAACAGAAAAGAAGGAATGTCACACTTAGAAGCCTGAGACCTCAATATCAAGGATACCATTCCTTATACATCTTTTAATTAAAAAAGAACTTAGGAAAGTAAAGGATGGAAGAGAGAAAAGTATGTCCACGATGAGGCAAATTAGAAGAAATAATGTAGCTAGGATATGTCTTATTTCAGAACATCTTTTTTATCTTGGTTATTCCATAAGATAGAGCTGTTTATGGAGTTGTTAACTAGCATAAGAGAAGTAAAATTGTAGATATTTATTTGGGACTGTTTTTCTTACCCCTGAAAGGCTGTGCATAGCTGGGAAAAGAGGAATCTTTACACTGTGTTGAAATTTAGTAGAACAAAATCTCCTTCCAACATTTTCTAATCCCATCGAGAGAAATAGTAGTTTTTTTTTTTTTTTTGCACTTAGCTAGTAAACTTTACCATGTTTGGTTTTGAGTTATTATTTTGAAGGATTTTCTGACTTCTGTAAAATTTTAACTGAAACCTGGATTTCATAGGAGTACAGAGGAGACATTGAGAGACATTTGACTTTTCATTAGCTGTCTGTGAGTCTTTTGGTTGTAGTAAGGGAAACTAAGTTTGGCCAGTTTAAGTGAAAAGGCTGGTATGTTGGATGAACATTAGGGTGGCTCACGGAATAAAAGTTGTCAAAGAGCAGACCTCAAGAAGGGGATGAAGATCAGGGTGGTTCTGGGACCCTGGCTGCAGAAGGCTATGTGGTCTTTTCTCTGAAGACACCCATCCTTTTTTCTATCCCTCGTTAAGGTATAACATGTATTCTGTAAAGTGTGTTTAATGTAAGTGTACAACCAGTGACATTTTTCATGTATATAACCATCTATATACATATACCTTTATACATGGATATATGTATATCCGTGTAACCATCACTCTGATCAAGATACAGAACATTTTCAGCTCCCCGTAAGTTCCCCTCAAGTGGGACACTGCTGTTTTGAAGTGAATCTGTATCTACAACTTCTGGTCTTTGTATATGTCTGTTCAAGTTTTATATTCCTGGGAAGGAGAATTTGATTAACAGGAAGGTCAGTCGGTTACAGCCTATAGGCAGAGTCATACACTGGAGGCCTGGCTAGTGGGAGCCATCCCCTGGTGCTGTCCCTGGGAAGGGTGGTTATGAGCAAGGGAACCACTCCAGTTGATGTCTAACTCACTCACCTTGTACTGGAACGTAGGATCTCACTTTTGTAATTGACCTTTTTTGTGACCTGATTGTCCTCCATAGAAACCTGTCCTTCGACTCAGAGGAAGAAGACCTTGGAGAGCTCCTCCAGCAGTTTGGAGATCTTAAATATGTCCGCATTGTCTTGCATCCAGACACAGAGCATTCTAAAGGTATTTGCTGTCAGCTGGTCAGGCCCAAAAGGGTTGAGCCCACTGCCATGGGCACTGACTAGGTTCCATGAGAGCATGGTGTGTGCCACCCTGAGGGGTCCACCATTATCCAGGTTTCTGTGATCCATAGAAGCACCAAGGACATTCTGAGGTTGTCTTCCGTGTTGTCAAACTCAGCATCTGTAATGGTGCTGCTGGCCATAATTTTGTCTCAGCTTTTTAAGCTCTTGCTTATTTACTTTAGGGTAATGAATTTCATTTGTTGTTCTTTGAATTTCAGATGTGATAGCATCTCATGGGTATTAATCATTCCACATTGCTTGAAATTGCTGGGATATTTTTCAGTTGCTTTTGTTAGAGATGGAAGCTGACAGAAACTTTGTTGCAGTGGCAACAGTCAGAAGGAAAACTATGTAGCAGGAGTGCTGCCTTAGTTTTCTTTTTTTCCCCCCCAAAGCTATTTCTTTTGAGCTTAAAGGTTGACCACTCCTCATTCTAATATACTGTTGTTAGGTAAGCACCTTTTCAACCCGTTCATAATCTTTGATTTTATCAACTGCAGTCGTTCTACTAAAGCAGTGAATTCTTAATTCATTCTGGTTCTTGATTCCTTTGAGATCTAGCAAAAACTCTGAACCCTGTCCTCAGAAAAATGCCATTTCTGAGTGTTTTGGGGCTCTCTGGAGCCTCTCTATGGATTAATTGCCTCCATTCTGAACCTTCTTATTTTCCAGTTTGATGAAACTTGATCATTTTTGGGTTTTACTCAGCTATGAAAGATGTAAATGAGGTAGTATAATGGAAAGAAAACTGAACTGCTTCCTGGAGATTAGGATCTAATCCCAGCTAAACCATAGACCGGCTGGGTGATTTTTGGCAATCATTTAACCACTGTGGGCTTCAGTTTCTTATCTGTAAAACGAGTGGGTTCAACTAATCACTTAACGTGCGTTCAGCTCTGATATTCAATTATGCTTCTTGGACCTTCTCCATTTCTAGTATATTTTTCTGAAAATGGGCAACTAGGATTGCATAAAATGTTACAAGTACCGTAGGATATTGCTTGACTTTGATGATCTCTTTTGTCTCTTTCAGGGTGCAGTAGTGTATTGGGTTGACATTTTCAGAATGGAGTCTGTAGTTGACTTGCTCAGTCTCTTTCTTGGTCTGTTAATGTTAGCTGAGAGTTAATGGTCTTAATAGGCATAGTTTCCGTTATTTTTTTTTTCATAATGCATTGTCTTTCCTGAGCTCATATTAAAATTTTCTGGCACTTTTTCTGCCTCCTCACACAACCTCCTCCTATACCTCATCCCTGTCAGCATGCCATTTCACTGCCTGGAAGGGCTAAGTATTGTCTGAAGACTTTTAGGAAGGTGGTAGGATTTAACCCAATAGTTACCCTGGAAATTCCAATGGTAAAATTCTTACCCATTCAGAGAGAAGAACTCATCCTATTTTCTTCGTATTGGACAAACAGGCTAATCTGCCTGTTAGAAACATTTCCCCCCCCCCATATTTCTTTCTATATTACTTGTTTCTTCCTATTGAGTATCTACTAATGCTGAACATTATGGTAGGTGCTACAAATGTAGAAATAGCCAAGAAACATGGCCCCTCTTCCAGAGACATTCAGGTCTTTTGGGGAAGATGCCACCTGACCAGTGCTGTAATAGAGATGAGAGTGGAGGACCGGCGGGGGTTGGTGGGGGGCACTTGGCTCTGCCTGGAGGAAGCAGGGAAGACCTCACTAGATGGCGACCCTTGGGTTGGCCTGCCACAGGTGTCCTTTCAGTTGGTCTGCTGTCATTCATTCTTAGAGGGGCAGAAGATCAGTGCTCCAGTAGCTCCAGGAAATATGGCATTATTTTCATATATGAGGGAATAATTAAAGTTTAAAGGAATACTAACAAAATATTATGGAACTTAATTGTTTTTTTTGAGTTTACTGTAAGGTGAACTTTTTTTTCTTACATAAGCTGCTTTTTATCAAGAGCAGAAAATTAGGATGGGTTGATTGGCCCTGCCTCTAACCAGTGAAAGGTGTGGAAATTCTATAGCATGAGTCGAGTTGAATTCATGAAAACAAAACAAAACAGAAAAGAGTTGAGCTCACGGCTTTCTGATTCACCACTATGTTCATGGGATAGAGGCCAGGGACTTTTACTCCAAGAGCTAGACCTGTCCTTATATAATGCCTCCCAGTGACTGTGATGACAGTGAGATCTGTAATTTAATTTCAGGCTTAAGTGGGTGCTGCCTCAGTTTTTTAGTCCTCTGATAGGCCCACAGAGAGTGATACTGAATTAAATGTTAGGCTGGAATTTCTCTAGATTTCTTGTGGATATTTCTTATTAAGGAGTGGAATGGTGAGACTAAAGTTTCTAAGAAGCCTTAGAAAAGATGAAGGAAGTAATAATAAAAGTTCATTGTGAGCAAGTGTGCTGTCTTACCTGTCTTTGAACCTCCAGTGCCTGACACAGTGCTTCTTAGTTAAGTCTCATAGTGCTAAACAAAAGGATGCTACTACCCCTCCACTTTGTGTCAGGCTGCCACCATTTGTAGTGTTGTCTTTGGATTCCTGGTGGGCCATGGGTGTTTGGGATCTACTTAGTTTTTTCTCTCTGTGCAGGTTGTGCATTTGCCCAGTTCATGACTCAAGAAGCGGCTCAGAAATGCCTTGAAGCTGCTTCTCCAGAGACCGAGGTAAGGAAGACATTTCCTTTACTCTGTAACTTGGCAGTAGTGGCTCCCAGGGGCAACATCTGATGTTAGCACAAAACCTTATTATTATTACTGTCCATGGTATAATAATAATAAAGCGAACACTTGTTGAGCACGTAGTGTGTGTTAGGCACTGAGCTTTACGTGCATCACTTTACTTAATCCTCACATCAGCCCTGTAGGTGTGTATAAGGTAAGTACAATCATTCTTATTTTACAAGTGAGGAAACAGGTATAATAATCTATTTACGGTTCACTCTCTGTATGTCAGTCTCTATCCTAGGCTGATGACATGAAACACTGGGACAAGAAGGGATTAAGGCCATCTGTGAAGTGGAGTAAATGTTTGAGAAAGTGTGGGTGATTGAGAATTTTTCAGTGATTTCTATAACCAAGTATAAATTGTTTTGAGATAAATTACTCTGTATTGCCATTGTCTCTTAAATTCTCCTGAGTAGAGTTAATACTACCATTTCATTAGCTTTCTTTAGAATACTAAAATTTTGCCAGTTTACAGATCATTTTCCTCAATTTGGGCCTACTTTGGGACTAATCAGCTCCCTTAAAACAAACGAACATGTGGTGGCCTTTGCACAGCTGTGCTAAATACTGTTAGGCTCAGTGATCTACTTGCAACCAGCTGGGCTAAAACATCCTGGGGGTTGGGTTCCACAGTATAATTGGGGTTTGCTGTTTTCCCTTTCCTTGGTGTTCCTTGTCAGGTGCTTAGTTTCTACTCGTCATGAATTTTAAGAGGTTGCAATCTGTTACAGAGTGGTGGGCTTAAACTGGATGGCCGGCAGCTTAAGGTTGACTTGGCAGTGACCCGTGATGAGGCTGCAAAGCTCCGGACAAAGAAGGTGAAGAAGCCGACTGGGACCCGGAACCTCTATCTGGCCCGAGAAGGCTGTGAGTGGTGGCAGGGAGATGGGAAACAGGCTTCTGAGTAGCTGGCCCCTTGCTGTGACAGTGACCTGGCAATAGTATGTTTGGGGCATGTTTCAAATTAAAAACCCTGTGTCCTCTTTAACAGTGATATATTGTTAATCCACTTTAGTAGATGTGGCTTTCTGTTAGGAAGGCTTCACCCAGTTCATGGATTAATGAGTCCCGTTCTCCTTTCTGCCTGCTTGCCTTTAGACCTTTTCGTCAGAGGATTAGCAGGGCAAAGAGGGAGGAAAAACTCAAATTACCTTTGCCTTTTGTCATCATTCCCGATAGGTTTTCTGAAGAAGTTGAAAATTATGACGAAAATTACTCTTTTGGATTACTCATGGATTTTAAATATGCACTGAGTTCCTTTCCCTTAATGTGAGAAAGATAATCAGGAATTAGCTTTAATTAAGACAAAAGAGAATCCTTTCCTCTAGGTCACACAATATTGCCACCTGCTGCACAGCTGCACAGCCTGGACTAGCAAATGGGAGACCATTAGCCTTTGAGACTAGGCCCTGTTTTACGATGTAGCTGTTTTCTAGGTTGGCTTATCTCACTGCTTAGTAATGGCTCCCAAATACAAGCGCATTGAAATTCCAAGGACAGGTTATAGGTAGAGCATTTTTGCATTCTAGATGCCTAAAATGTACTTATTTCCAGAATTTCCTCTAGGCCTTTCCATCTGACTTTGGGCATGTACATGAAACTCTTTGAGGGAAAGGAGGGAGAGGAACAAAATCACAAAATGTTCAGAGTTTTAGTCCTTGAGAGCAGCTCATAGACAAGAACTTAGCCCTGTAGCCTATTTCTGGACCTACCCAGATGCCACTATGTCCTGGCCAGCATAGTCCTCTGGGCCCTGTACAGAGAGCTTGCATCATTCAAATCACATTCCTCTTATTGCTCAGTGAAAATTCCCTTGCTGATGTCTTGGCCTTTTTCCCTCTTTCTGCAGTGATTCGTGCTGGGACGAAGGCTGCAGAGGGTGTGAGTGCTGCTGATATGGCCAAAAGAGAACGAGTGAGTAGATTAGGCACCAATCTTCATGTTCTGCATGACTTAATAAAATCCATAAATAATAATAATTGAATGCTAGAGATGCTCATCAAAGAGCCAAGCAAGTATCGGCCACAGGTGCTGCTTACACTGTTAGAAAACAAGCACACAGGTGAAACAGCAACTAACCCAGCATTATACATAATATCATGTCAGCATTATATGCCATTATAGGAACTGGGTCTTATTCTTTGTTTTCCTAATGCTCAGCAGTAAACGTTTGCCACATAGTTTGCTTCTGGATCGTGGAGTAGATCCCTAGAGGCTCGGGCTGTATATAATTAGGTGTCAGTATAAATGCAGAATAACATAAGAAAGGAAGGTCAGGGTGGCTAGAGTTAGTAGGGAAGGAGGTGTAGATGTGGGTCTTGGAAGGGAGAGTTAAGATGTCTGTTTTGATGGGGGGAGGGTGGTGTCTCCAGTAGGAAAACTATGTTATGGGATTTCCACTGATAACTGATGCTATTGAGTTCCTTTGCTGCTCGGCAATATTTGTTCCGGTAATTTTTACTTTTGCCCATATAGCTTACTTTCAAAAAGCTAAGCCAGCCTAGAATGGTAAAGATGCATGATCATTAACAGAATTAACTATGGAACCTGAAAGTGCAGAAGAGGACGGACAGAGATGAGAATATAGTGACAGCAAGAGGCAGCATGTCTTTTCTCTGTACAGTTTCTAGACTAGTGTTCTCAACTTTTTTTGGTACTGAACATCTGGAAATCATGGTTATTTGGGGGGCATTGTATGCCCTTTTCTGATCACAATGTGATAGTGACACATTTAATTCTCCCTTAGAGTGAATTTTTCTAGCAAAAAGCTCACTAGATTATACACATTGTAATTCACAGCAGGCACAGTTTTTCCTGGGAGAAAAATTAGACTGTTCAATTTAAGCATGATAACCTCTTCAAATAGCCCTTTTAATGTTCATTTCCAGGGTATTTGTTTATTTTGTGATTTGTTAGTACCTTTACCAAACAAGAAGCAGCAGGAATGAGACTTGATAAAAGAAAAAATTTAATTTCAAACTTTCTTCTACTGAGCTAATTTTAACAAACAAATCAGGAGAAGAATGTCATCCTTTCACTTTAGAGACAGGTTGCCCTGGGACCAGTGCTTTGTGTAGCATAGTTGAGGCTCTAGACGCAGTTTCTTTCTATGGCCATTGACGTTTCTTTGCCTCAAGGTGGCAGAGTTGAGACGTTTCTTTGCCTCAAGGTGGCAGAGTTGAGACGCTTCTTTGCCTCAAGGTGGCAGAGTTGAGACGTTTCTTTGCCTCAAGGTGGCAGAGTTGAGACGAGACAATATTCTATCAAGAATTCTTAAATAAATTCCATTTCCTTTAGGAAGGACTAAGTAATTAGTTTGAGTTGATGGGTAGATAAGGGCTTGGCATAGATGTTAACTACAGTATTATTTTTTATTTGCTCTGGGCCGGGTTTGAGCTTGGGATTTTATGTGTATTACCTCATTGCAGCCTCACATCAGTACTGAAAGATTGGTCTTATATTTTGATCTACAGTTCTACTCTGTAGGTGAAATTATTGAGGCTTAAACAATTTTATGTAGCTTCTCCAGTTAGAGATGGATTTCTAATTCAGTCTGACTCCAGAGCCCATGATCTTATCACCTCTCCACCATCATCTTGCTTCCTTGACCCTTTCTTTCCCTGTGCTGAGTATCATAAGGCTGCAGCGTGGGTGGTTTCCCTCCTTTTTTCTAGATGTGTGGTTATTGGATAGGCATCATGATTCTTTCCTGTTGGAGAATTATGAGCCTGTATTTTTAAAGGGTGGATTGTATTGTTAACAATTTATTGTTCTTTCAGTTTGAGCTGCTGAAGCATCAGAAACTCAAGGACCAGAATATCTTTGTCTCCCGGACCAGGCTGTGCCTGCACAATCTCCCAAAGGCCGTGGATGACAAACAGCTCAGAAAGCTGCTGCTGAATGCCACTAGAGGGGAGAAGGGGGTGCGCATCAAGGAGGTGAGAGTTGGCCCTGCCCACTCAGAACTCAGGTACTCATCCTGGGTCAGATCGAGTATTTCGTTCAGGCTGTGGTGCTGGCAGATTGACAGATTTTCTTTTGGACACAGTCAGCAGACAAGGCTGAGTTTGGTGATTTTTGTGGTTTTATGGGGTTGAAAAATTTTTTTTTACCTCTTCTAAGAACTGCCTTTCACATCTGACCAAATTGCAGCAGAATGTGAGGAAGTCTCTGCCCTCATGAATTAATTTAGCAAGCACTTATTGAATACCTGCTGTGTTCCCAGCATTATACCAGGTGCTGTAAGGTTAATTTTCTTGCTGAGAAAATAACCTGTGTGCTTTGCTCTTTAGAAGGGCATTTCGCTACCATTTAGTAAGAGCCATATAGGCTCTTACCCTGTAGTAAGAGTCCTCAGTGCCCTGTGGTGAGCATAGAGAGCCACCCGGGTCTTCAGCAGTTGTATTAGACAGACTCTGGATTCACACCAAGACTTGGTTAGGCTCTGTGTGCGTACAGAGACCCCTCCTCTGCTCCCACAACACCCCTGTGTACCTGTGTCATAGTACTGACTACTACATGTCCTGTGATGGTCTGCCAGTCATTCCTCCCCACCAGGCTGAGCCCTTAGAGAGCAGGCGTTATCTCATTGTTCCCAGTTCTTGGCATAATACCTGGCACATAGTCATCTCTTGATCAGTGTTTATTGAATAAGTAACCTAGCCAATATTATGAACCTGCTTTGCTCTGATTCATCACCGTAAACTATTTTCCTACTCCTGGAAATCCTCTTCAAAATGTAAGGTATTGGTATTCAGGGAATTCCAGGAGAGAATGTGAACATGTCAGCACGTAGCCGACACCACTCTTGGTAAAACTTGGTAACTGTTCCAACTGTTACTGGCATAAGGGTGAGTTGTGTAATTTCTCATTAACGTCCACAATGCTTAGTAAGAGTCTGCACATTTAACACCTGCCATCATTTAGAGAAATGTATGTGTGTTTTACAATATTTGCATTATATTGAATTTTTAATTCTTTCGTATGTGTAAATATCGTGTCTCAGTAAGATAGTAAGCCTCTTGAGGATAGGAGCCTCATTTTATGCTTTTCTTGATTATCCTACAGTACATGGCACAGTTCTAGGCACAGAGTAGATACCGGACGCACACCAAATGCAGCATCCATGTGTACCCAATGCCTAGACTTCTCTGTTACGTGATAACTACAGCTTCCAGCAGTAAAAGCACATAAACTATCAGTTTTCCCCAAATATCCTACTGTTCCTCGGTGCCCCAGGATGCCTATTACAGCTTAAGGATTTAGGGAAAAATCATGCCAGAGAGGATCTGAGCTCTGAGCAAAGACAGCTGAAGCTCCTTCCTGTATTTCTGAGGCTATATGTTGGGCAGGATCTTCCCCATACCTGAATTGTCTTTCTTATCTAAAGCCATCAGGCCCTTATCCTTCCCTTCTTCAGTAATTTCCTTTCTGAGTGGTTTCTTCAGTGAGGAGATCCACAGATGGCTTTTTAGCCTCAGTGCTAACTTATACAACCTCAAGTACCACGTACCTCTCAGCTTGTGTGTATTGTCATGTCAACAGTTAGCTATTATAATTTTTCCTTGGGAAGTTTATTTTATTTACATGCTTACTTGTAGGTCTGGGTTGATGTCTGTAAGCTCTTAGAAAGCAAGAAAATATCTGTTTAACTCATTTTGTGCTCTCCGTAGGTGTATTCTAATAAAACAGACATTCGTAAGTGCTATTCCAGTAAAACTCTTGTGATGGTGATATATATGAAAACTGTTCCAATAACCTGATTTCTTGTTGAAGCTGTTAAGGATCTTTATCCTCTAATTACTGATTCTTTTTCTTGTTCTACTTGTAGTGTCGGGTAATGCGAGGCCTTAAAGGAGCTCATGGGAAAATTAACGGTCAGTCCTTGGGCTATGCCTTTGCAGAGTTCCAGGAGCACGAGCATGCCCTGGCAGCCCTACGCCACATCAACAACAATCCAGAAATATTTGGGCCTCAGAAGGTGAGCCTCATCCTGTGGGGGGGGAACATGTTCCTCTGAGGGCCATTTGCGGAAAACCCTCTGACGTTTGTATGGTGGGTAAGAGTGGCAAGGCGTTGGAGGAGTGATCAGTGATTCAGGTGATAAGATGATTAGAAGGAACACTAAACTGGATAGACTGCTTGCAGAACTGGCCCCTTGCATTTAAGTAGAGTGAAGTGAGTAGCATCCTCTGACTTGCAAGAAAGAGGGTAGTGGTGGGACGATATCTCAGCTCATTGCACGCAGAGATTAAGAAATCTAATGAATGACTTTCCGTCCCCTTCTGCCACAGAGACCAATAGTGGAGTTCTCTTTGGAAGATCGAAGGAAACTTAAAATAAAGGAACTGAGGATCCAGCGCAGCCTGGTACGGAACTGAGATGTTTTTTCTGTCTTTGTTTTTTGTTTGTTTGTTTGTTTTTAATTTTTATTAATTTATTTTTGGCTGTGTTGGGTCTTCGTTTTTGTGCTGGGGCTTTCTCTAGTTGCGGCGAGTGGGGGCCACTCTTCATCGCGGTGCGCGGGCCTCTCACTGTTGCGGCCTGTCTTGTTGCGGAGCACAGGCTCCAGACGCGCAGGCTCAGTAGTTGTGGCTCACAGGCCTAGTTGCTCTGCGGCATGTGGGATCTTCCCAGACCAGGGCTCGAACCCGTGTCCCCTTCATTGGCAGGCAGATTCTCAACCACTGCGCCACCAGGGAAGTCCCTGTCTTTGTTTTTTAAATTGTAGTAGTATACACATAAACTTTACTATTTTTAAGTATACAGTTCAGTTAAAACAATATTTTTTTTAGGGCCATATTTAAACTGTTTTGTGCAGTTTGTGGTTCTGCTCCCTTAAAGTAGGTCTCTTCCTCATTAGGTTCTTTGTTACCCTTTACTCTTAGTTTCCTAGAACGCTGTAGGCCATCTCTCCTCTGCTGGCCTGGCTTGTGATAGCTCCACAGAACGGGGAGGAAGGAGAGAGGAGAATCGGACTGATGTTATTACCAATCAGCAGTGCTTGTACTGCAGTGTTTGGTGATGGTACGTGTCAAAGTTAATAGCCAAGGTTAAGTTTTACATTACCTGTAGATTTCAGCTCTCTCTTCCATAATTCTGTTTTCTTCTTAGATGGCTCCAGAAGTGTGATGCCTGATAGTTTTAGTACTGTTTTTAATCTAGTGTAGTATAGAGGAAAGAACAGGGATTTTGGGAACAAGAATATTCATGTTCAAACTCAGGCTCTGCCCCTGAGTTCCTTGGCAAGTTATTACCTTTCTCAGCTTCAGTTTCTAGTAAAAATAGGATTAACATCATCTGTGTTACATGGTTGATGAGGATTAAGTGAGGTAGTGCGTGTAAGTTGTCTCGCATACTACAGTCAGCACACAGTCATTGCTCACTCTCTTACCCATCCTGCCGCAGGACGTAGAAGGCCAGGTTATTCTTGACACCATAACTCTTACAGATCTCATTGATATTATACCTTAACTTGCATATATACCAAACATTTGCAGTGCTTTGGTGTCTTTATGGTGTTTATCATGAGCATGACTTTTATTTATTTATTTATTTTCGCTGCGTTGGGTCTTCGTTGCTGCACACGGGCTTTCTCTAGTTGCGCCGGGCAGGGGCTACTCTTTGTTGCAGTGCGCGGTCTTCTCATTGTGGTGGCTTCTTATGTTGCGGAGCACAGGCTCTAGGTGCGCGGGCTTCAGTAGTTGTGGCACGTGGTCTCAGTGGTTGTGGCTCGCGGGCTCTAGAGTGCAGGCTCAGTAATTGTGGCGCACGGGCTTAGTTCGTCCGCGGCATGTGGGATCTTCCCAGACCAGGGCTCGAACCCGTGTCCCCTGCATTGGCAGGTGGATTCTTAACCACTGCTCCGCCAGGGAAGCCCTGAGCATGACTTTTAGAGGAGCAGTATCAGTGGTTAATACAATGGCCCTGGGTTGGAAAAACCTGAGTTCTGGTTATTATTCAAGGCAGCTTTATTATTGTAGTTATAGAATTATTTACTGCCTAAGTCAGAGGTGATTCTGTAGCTACCGGCTTAAAAAAAAATTCAGGTGGCCTTATTTGTTGCCTACACTTAATGTACATACTGATCTCTCTGTGTAAAAGTGTTCCTCTCCCCTGACTCAAGGATACTTCTACTCAGTTTCCATACTCATATTCCACAAGTAGCATTTCCCCACCTCTCTCAAAAGAGATAAGACTTTATTACTTGTACTTCATGAAGTTCCTTAAACTTTTTTTTAGTTTTTTACTTTGTGAATGTCTCTTTTCTCCACTGGACTGTGAGTGCTAAAAGGTAGACACTTCATTCTGTCCATCTGTACCCTTACCACTTAGAGACTGGCACATAAGAGGCATATAATAGATCTTTGTTGTGTCAGTGTGCCTGTCTAGATTTCTGAGGTGAAAAGGACAAAATAACATTATTATTACTACATTAATTTCACATGAATCTTCTTTTTCTTCCCCCACTTCAGTGCAAAATAAATCTGTAACATACTTTGTCTTCCTTCTCATGTCATCTTTTCCTTATCTTCATTTCAGTTATCTTTTCTCTAATGTTTTTCCTTTCTCTATATGGATTCAAGTTTCTGACGTGTCATTTCTTCTCCCTTAATACATTCATGTAGTATTTCTTGCAAGGCATGTCTACCAGTGATAAATTTCTTTAAAGTTTTTTTTTTTGGCCTCACTGTGCGTATTGTGGGATCCTAGTTCCCCAATGAGGGCTCGAACCCGGGCCCCCGGCAGTGAGAGCACTGAGTCCTAACCATGGACTGCCAGGGAATTCCCAGATTTCTTTAATTTTTGTTTGTCTGAGAAAGTTTTTGTTTTTCCTTCACTTTTGAAGGATAATTACACGGGTAAAGCATTCTAAGTTGGTGATTTTTTTCCCCCAAACTTTAAATATTTCCTTCTATTCTCTTCTTGCTTATATGGTTTCTGAAGGGAAATCCAATGTAATCTTAACTTTGTTCCTCTGTAGGTAATGTATTTTCCCTACCTCTGGCTTCTTTCAAGGTTTTCTCTTTGATTTTCTGCTGTTTGATATGATATGCCTAGGTGTACTTTTTTCTTTTTTTTTTTTAATATCCTGTTTGGTTTTTGGCCTGGATCTGTGGTTTAGTGTCTGTCCTTAAGTTTGGAAATCCTTAGCTCTTATTACTTCAAATATTTCTCTTTCTTCTCATTCCCATTATACATTTGTTACACCTTTGGTAATTGTCCCATGCTACTGGCCTATTTTCTACTGGCTTTTGTGTTTTGGACATACCTGTACTTTTCCCCTATTTCTGCATGTGGAAAGGGAAATGGTTGTTTTGTGTCCCCCACCCAGTAACCATCTGTTACTATTTCAGGGCCTGTGAACTACTTGCATTCACTTTCCTATAGTCTCTAACTATTTGGGGGAAGAATTCCCCTTCTCTCACCAGCTCATTCCTCTTCTGAATATTTCCAGCAAATAAACCTCACCCAGTAACTAAATGGCATTCCCTTGTCTTATACAGCAAAAAGTGAAATCCATGTTGGCAACTGGTGAGCAGCCCCAGCAAGAACAACCAGAGCTTGGGAAAAAACAGCAACAGAAAACAGCTCAGAACCACATGCATCAACAAAGCAAGGCACCCATGGAGCAGAAGGAGAAGGCAGGATCTGTCTCGTGGACAGGGTTCCAGACCAAGGCTGAAGTGGAGCACGTGGAGCTGTCTGATGGGAAGAAGCGAAGAAAGGTCCTGGTGCTCCCCTCACACCGAGGCCCCAAAATTAGGTGAGATGCAGGATGGCGGCTCAGAGGGTTTGTCTTGCTTCGCCCTTTTTCCTCTTTGTTTGGAGGAAAGAGATGCTTAGTGTGCTCCAGTCCCGCATGAAGTATCTCTACACCAGCAGAGTCACTCTTGGACCAAATGGAGGCCGGAACAGGACTGGCAGAGGGGGCCTCGGAGGAGCCTTCCAGTGCGGGCTTTCCTGATTTTTCTCTTCTGAAGAGCTTCCTCCTGTCCTGATGGCGGTCTCTGTCAGCTGAGGCCCATCTACCTGAGGTTTCTGTTTGGGACAACAGATTAGTGCTGTCAACAGAAGTCGATCTGGACCAAATTTTTGTTAGGTATATGAAGGTTTTTGAGATTTCCTTGAGGTTTTAAGCTAAAACAAAAAGAGAAGTATACAGATGTTGAGCCATAGGACATTCTGTTGCAGTATCCCTTTTTAGCATGATTTCTCATGGGCTTAGAAAGAGCCAGCGTAAGAAAAGGTGTTTTATCTTTTGGGCTGAGAAAAATCTCAGGGGTCCCAATTAGAGGAGGAACTCAGGGTGACACTTGACCATATTGTTTCAGGTTACGGGACAAAGGCAAAATGAAGCCTCTCCCTCCCAAGAAGCCAAACCCCCAGATAAACCACTGGAAGCAAGAGAAGCAGAAATTATCTTCCAAGCAGGTAAGTTCTGTAGGCCATGAGGCTTTGGCATGGCACAGCTCTGCTGGGGTCGGCAGCCGCTTGTGCCGTGATTAGTTGTGCAAAGGGAAAGGGCTTCGGGGCTTCCCTTGTGGCGCATTGGTTGAGAGTCCGCCTGCTGATGCAGGGGACACGGGTTTGTGCCCCGGTCCAGGAAGATCCCACATGCCGCGGAGCAGCTGGGCCCGTGAGCCATGGCCACTGAGCCTGCACGTCCAGAGCCTGTGCTCTGCAGTGGGAGAGGCCACAACAGTGAGAGGCCCGCGTACCGCAAAAAAAAAAAAAAAAAAAAGGAAAGGGCTTCTAGTTTGCACTTATGTACAGGATTGCAGCTTTTTAGAGGATGTGGAGGTACATGGTCCTAAAAGTGGGGAGAATAATAAAACGAACCCCATGTATTGGTTACTCTGCTTCAATAATTATCTTGTTTTACCTACCCCCCACCCCATCCCACCCTGTGAATATATTAAAGTGAATTCTACTTCACTTGTAAATGTGCCTCATGTGGAAATGAGGTATATTGCTCAGAAAAATATCTCAGAATTCATCTCAAGCTGATCAGGCCTTAAACACACATATACCCAAACACATATTATGCCATCATCACATCTAATGATATTAATAAGAAGCTCTTAATAGCTAATATGTAATCCATATTAAAACATTCCCAGTTGCCTCAAAAATACATTTTTTAAGTTGGCTAGTATGAATCAGGTTCCAAACAAAGTCCACATGTTATACTCGGAATTTTTTTTTTGGCCATGCCCTGCAGCTTGTGGGATCTTAGTTCCCTGGCCAGGTATTGAACCTGGGCCACGGCAGTGAAAGCGCAGAGTCCTAACCACTGGACTGCCAGGGAATTCCTTATACTTCATTTTTAAATCTCTTAAATCTTTTTTTTCCCCCTATAATATCCAGTCTTCCTTACATCCACCCCTGCTTTTTTCCATGCAGTTAATTTGTTGGATAAGCCAGGTCCTTAGCCCTAGAATGTATTACATTTTGAATTTAGTTGCTTTCTTCCTTGTGCTGTCATTTAACTTGTTCCTCTAACACCCCATGTTGCCTACAAACTGGTTGTTAGATCTAGAGGCTAGATTAGATTCAAGTTCAGTTTTCTTGGCGAGAGCATTTCATAGGTGGTGCTGTGTGCTTTCTGTTGCATTGCACCGTAAGGTGCATAGTGTCTGGTTGCCCCATTTTTAGTGATGCTGTGATTCATCAGTACGTTTAGGAATTGTCTACCTTATCCCTCCATTTGTAAAGTCCCCCATCAGCCTCCCACCTAAGGGTCTTAGCACCCACTGATGACTGCTATCTAGATCCGTATTTCAATACGAGTTGCAGAATGGTAATTTTCTAATTTTATCAACGCTTTTGTGTTTTTAAAGAAGAATTCTAGAAAAAAAGAATCTTCCCTGATCAACTGTTTGGTTCCCATGAAATATCATTTGTGTAGGAAAGGCAGGGTAAATGCTTGATTTTGTTCTTTTCCTTTTATCAGATTCCAGAGTAATGAGTTGTTGCCCTACCAACCTCCTCAGATGACCAGTACGATTTTTTTTAGTATTGTGAATTCCTGAGTTTTTATGTACTTGATATGTTTCAGTCAGATGCAATCATTATTTTTGTCCCATCTGAGGCCAGCAGAAGCCCCTTCAGGTTGACTCCTGCCTGAGTCCTTCTGACATGATCCTGTCTTTGATAGTGTCCTTACTTCCTAGTACAACTGGATGTCCCAATTTATCTATTTCTTCGTCAACCGTGGCATTAGCTTCTTATCTATTTCTTCGTCAACCCTGGCATTAGCTTCCAAGGAGCCCTAGTTCTTTTTTTTTTTTTTTTTTTGCACTACGCGGGCCTCTCACTGTTGTGGCCTTTCCTGCTGCGGAGCACAGGGTCCGGACGCGCAGGCCCAACAGCCATGGCTCACGGGCCCAGCTGCTCCGCGGCATGTGGGATCTTCCCAGACTGGGGCACGAACCCATGTCCCCTGCATCGGCAGGCGGACTCTCAACCACTGCGCCACCAGGGAAGCCCGGAGCCCTAGTTCTTAATAGAAAGTGGTGGTCCTGCATCCTTGATCATTGGAAGTCAAATTTTCTTTTTTTCCTTGCCTAGTTCCTTTCTTTAAAGGGTACAAGAGCATTAGCTTCTCATCCTACTCAAGAAATCTGTGTCTCTGGGAAGCCTCTGACCCATCACACTATCTTATAGAGCTCTCTTTGAAACCCTGTAATTCTTGGTGAGGGAAAGGGCAACAAGCAAGACCATCCAGACTTGGGGCTGACTCATCTCGGAGGAGATTCGTGTGAACATTTGGGAATTGAAGGGGGAGAGGCCTTTGAAACACGGTACTTTAGTGGGGCCCTTCTCTTAGGCACTCCTGGTCTGATTTCTTACCAATGGATGATTCTTGCGGGGTCACTGTCTGGAAGTCCCTCTTGTGGTGGACAAGATCTCTGAACCTACTTTCTCCCTTGGCTGGCCTAAGGGTAAGGTAATACTTAATGCTTGAAACCAATTATCTTATGTTTCCTTACCTTTCATTTGTAGGTACCTAGGAAGAAAGCTAAGGGAAATAAGACAGAAGTTCGCTTCAACCAGCTGGTTGAACAATATAAGCAGAAGTTATTGGGACCTTCTAAAGGAGCTCCTCTTGCAAAGAGGAGCAAATGGTTTGACAGTTGATGATGGTAGCAGACTGGGTAAGAAGCTGGATTGTGTGCTTCTTGGTAAAGCCTCCCCGCCTCCCCCATGTCATTTACTGAGGGAAGGAAACTCCTTGAGTGTACTGCCACTTTGAGGCACTGCGACTGGGGCACATCTGAACTTTGGTCCCTCCCTCGTGTGTGGTTAGATAACCACAAAGAGGAATCTCAGAAAAACATGGTGATGCTTCTTGCATATTTTGTGTGAAGTTGTGTTTATAATTCTTATCCATTTTAATTCTCTGTTGCTCGAATGGAAACAATTATAAAAAGCATTCTTGACTGCTGAATTTTTAAGATGTATATTTTGTTAAGTGTCTTCCCTAAATGAGATATTTTGTGGCTTTTTGAATAACAGACTCTCCTTTCTAATATATGGGAATCCTTTGTTATTGATAAACGTTTTTGATATTCCTAACTCTAATTCAGGTATGTAGTCCTACATACTGCAGGAATCGATTAAGAAAGAGCAGAGAAACATGATTTCCAACCTAGTCTTTGAGGGTGGGAGAAACTTGCAAAGTAATTGAGGGCGTGGGGCCTGGCCAGGAGCAACACCTGATAATTGTTTGCCAAATGAGTGGGTAACTGTTGGTAGTTAACTAGAAATCAGTTGGCAGTGGCCCACAGACACTAGCCCGGGTGGTGCTAACCTGCATTTCCTCTCTTCCAGCACCTCCTCCTGAGGACTCAAGAGAGGTGGTCGGTGGTGGAGAGAGCGGTGAGCATGGCCAGAGAAAGAGCTGGAAATACAGCACAAAGCTCTTAATTCCCCAGTCCAGTCTGGTGCCATAATAAGTGATGCTTTCTTCAGAACCATTGCTGACCTAGGGATATGGCTATTTCATTGCAGTATCTTGGGAAACCAATGAATGCTCAGAAATGCCCTTAATTGGTTTAAAGATGGGTAAAAGAGAGACCATGAAAATACTGAAACCTTTTGGAGAGAACTAAAGTACAGAGGCTGTATCTCCAGAGTTACCTTGAAACAGTGCAACTTGGGGAGTTTGAAATGTTCTGGCAGCAGCTTGGCAACCCATCAACCCTAGGATGGCCTGTACTCTGTGAGGGAGTCAGACACTTTATTAAAGGTGTAAATAGAAGATCCACAGCCTGCCTGGCCTCTGATCTGTTTTCCCTTGGCCAGCTGTCTGCTCACCAGACACTTTTTCCCGTAGTGTACAAATATCTATAAATTAACATTTAAAAATAATCTGAACATTTAGGATAGATAAAAATTGGGTTCATTTCAGATAGCTTTGCCAGATTTTCTTAGATCCAGATTTTTCTTCTGACAGGTATAGCAGCCCAGTATGTTTAAAACATCATTCAGCTGCTCGAAGTTACTGCACAGTTCTTATCTTTTTTTTTTGCCTTTATTTTATTTTATTAAATGATGTTTGAATCACTAAATTAAAGAATATATATTGCTGAACATTTACAATGACAATTTTGCATTTCTCCATATACTTTATCATATAATGATGTTATATGTTTTCTAAATTTCTTAAATCTATATTTAAGATACAACTATATAATAAGAATCCCAAGGAAAACAAAACTTAAACCTCAAAATTATTGTTCATCCCATTACTATTTAAGCTGCTAATTTTTGCCCATTAAAACTCCGTTTCTTACGCATATTTAAAAATCCACATACTAGTATCATTGTCATTTAAAAAGTCACTCCTTAATATATAACTTTCAGCATATGGTTATTTGTGAATATAATTTTGCAAAAATTTATCTTATGTCTGATAGTTTACTTTTGAAACTATTTAGAAAGCTTAAAGATGCAAAAGAAAAATAGCAAATTGGATTATATAATCTGCATACATAAAGGATTTGCATTGAACTAAATCACAGAGGCAGTTTTGGTGAATTCGTATTCAATATTGTCTTCACTTTATTACTCAAGAATATTTCTGAGCTGGATAGTGTGCCAGAACCCCTATCAGTTTTGTCAGTGAAAAGAGACAAGAGAAAATCTAATTCTGCAGGCAATGTAATAAATAAATATATACTTTTAAAGAAAAAGGACAAAGAAAATGTAAATTTGGTCTGTCTTCTTACCTATAAAGAAGGTAGGCACAGGAGTAAATTATTTTTTATGTAACATCTATTTCTAAAGGTTTACAAGATACAATTTTAAAATGGGTATATTTTATGGTTTTTATATTAATTGATACAAACATAGCCAAATACCTATGTGTATAAATTATTTGGCCAGTATCCACTCACTTCATACCTTTAAGAAAGAGAATATAAGGTCATTTGCAATAATAATAATTAACTACTTAGTAACATAAAACAAGCTAAAATAATGTTTAAAGAATGTTGACCTGAAAAAGTGTAATGATTCTCAGTGTAGGCGTTCCTATGCGGAACAAATTAATGTGTGATTTACAGTACAGTTTAAAAGTACACACACTGCAGAGCTCTTTAAAAAAGTAATAAGATGAATCATCCACTTACTCAACAACCAGATTGCTTGTATGGTGTCCTCCTCTGGGCCACCTCACCGTGGGTTATCTGGGCAGCTTCTTAACGCTTGCCTCGGGAGTATTCATGCAAGGAGAATCATGCTCATTTCTTCACTTCAGAGCCTGATGTTTCATGAAATGGAGTTTTCTGAATTAGACGTGAAAGTGGAGTTACAGACCGCTTGGTTAAAAAGCAACAACAATAACAAACATTTCATTAACATCCAAGACTGAAGGCCATTGATCAAAACTGTCAAGTTTCAGTAGATTTCCTGCTTGGTTATACAGCAGCCTGACTCAGAGATACTTTTTTTTTTTTTTTTTTTTTTGTGGTACGCGGGCCTCTCACTGTTGTGGCCTCTCCCATTGCGGAGCACAGGCTCCGGACGCGCAGGCTCACAGGCCATGGTTCACGGGCCCAGCTGCTCCGCGGCATGTGGGATCTTCCCGGACCGGGGCACGAACCCGCGTCCCCTGCATCGGCAGGCGGACTCTCAACCACTGCGCCACCAGGGAAGCCCAGAGATACTTACTTTAAATAAAGAGTCTTAAGATTGTGTGGTGGCTGTTTCTTTGCTTTTTTGGTGGGGGGGGGGTGTGGAGGGGGGTAGATGGGAGACTTGGTAGTTTTGAAGACTCTGCTTTGATCCAGGGTGTACAGTCCCTTGCTCTAGACTTCGCCTGCAGCGAGGATTCTGCTTCAGCTGTCTTGAAGTGAGATCTGCAGCTTCCTCTGTTACAGAGTTAGTGCACGTGAATTCGTTCTTCGAAATACTTCCAAATGTCCTTTGCTATGTTTTTGCCTTGAAAAGAGGTTTTCCAGCTAAAAATTCAGAGTGTAGAACCTCAAGGTTCCGGAGATCCCCTTCTCACCATGTATTTAATCTTCAGTCGTCTGAGGAAGCAGGAGGTCAAATATGCCTCTGTGAGTGCTGGCCACCCAGAATCATCAGTCATAGGCCCTCTGGCTGATCCACGTAGCTAGTTCTTTGCTTAATATTCCTCCCACTCACTTTTTGAGAAGTGACTGACAGGCATCTGCCAATTCTGTCATATAAGTGGCAACTCTGCCCACTCAACTTGGAAAGTTCCTGAAACTTCTCCATGGACTGCTCCATCATGGTAGTAGCCACATCATCAGACTGAGGATGCCCAGGATAAGTTTGTATTTCATTTTGTCTCAGATGTTGCTCAACTGTGCTTTCTCTCACTCAGTCCTAATTGGCGCTTAAAGGGCCAGGATGAGGTTGCTTTGTTTCTCTCAGGCAGAGTGAAAATTTCCAGACCTTCCTTTGCCCAAGGTTGGCTGATTCAGAAGTTGCGTGCATGCATTGTCTTATTTTGGTTCTTTCTTTCTTGTCCCGATGTCTCGTCCTTTCCAGGATTAATTGCAGAGTCTGAGACTGCTCATTGATTGGGCTGTTATTCAGTGGTCTAGACATGGATGAGTTATAGGTACATCTGCAATTACTTTAGCTTTTGATTCTGAGCTGGTGTTTGGCTGCAGACAGGCTTCTGTGCTTATGAAGTAATATAGTGGGAAGAATGTGAAGGGCACAGACTGATTGAGCCTGGTAACCAATTCTGAGAAGGAAACTGCAGAGTCACCGGAATACCTTTTGGACAACCCCCAAATGGAGCATCTTGATAGATGGCAAATCCAGTTTTCCTTAGGCTCGTCCATGCTGTCCAGAGCCTGCTGCCTTTTGTCAGACGAATACTTCACTGCTGCAGAGTCACCCCGGAATCTCCTTCCCTGGCCGTTTGATGGAAGGAAAATCCTTTCTGTCCTTGAGGGCAGGGACTATATTTTACACTTTTCTATGTACCCTGCAATACTGAACAATGATTTACACATAGTAGGAGTTCGTTTAATTCCACTGAACTCACTGGAACAGAAGGCCATCTGGTCCAGGGAGCTGCGTTTGTGAAGGACAACAGAGTCATTTCCTGAGGTGATGTTTGTGAAAGGGTCCCAAAATACAAGGTGATAGAAAAAGAATAATAAACTGCTGGTCACAATCCCTTGAGCACACCACCTGTGTTCTTTTTGCTGTGCCTTGTCCACGCCAATTTGTCCTTCTCCACTCACGTGCTATCCAGCATTTCTCCCTGGGAACCTCATCCAACCCAGGGCATTGTGGTCCCTCCCTTGGTCCCTGACCCTTTCTGGTTGACGTCTACTCACTTGACAGCATATGCGACTGTGGCTTACTTGTCATTTCTTTAGATCTTACTTCTGCAAGTAGATGGAGCCCCGTGATGGCAATCCCAGCCCCAGGGTGTGGCCGATGGTGTCCTTAGTGATTGGCTGTTGAGGATGATGAAGATGAGGGGTGTAGGAGACAGTCACCTGCTGCAGTGAATTCTCCCCAGCCTGTAAGGCCAACTGGCCCGAGGCAGGGGAACACAATCAGATTCACAGGTTGCATCAGACCGAAATTCTCCAGACCACCCAGTTCCAGAAACTGCCCTGGAGACATTCCGGACCACCCAGTTCCAGGAACTGACCTGGGGACTTTGAACCCAGCCCAGCCTTCCCGCCTTTCGAGGGGCGGGAACAACGGTCCCCCAGGATACCCGAAAAGACCACCAAATAAGGAATACCCTGCGCCCTCCCAGATTCACCACACCCCTTTCCCTTCTTCCCCTATAAAATCTTGCCCAACCCTCGCCCGGTGCGACTTCTCTGGCCCCTTTCTCTCGGACCAGTGAACCTCGCCCCGGAGCGCTCCCTAATAAAGCTCACTTGAAGCTTTCCTCTGTTTCGCGGTGCCGTTTGTTAAGATCCGACCTTACATCTGGTGCCGAAACCCGGGAGGGGTACCAAGCCCCGCGGGTTACGGCGCGGGCCGCTCCTCCCCTCCCCCAGGAGACAACCAGGGAACCTCTACTCATCCACCCGATCCGGCAGAAAACGGGCTAAGTCCCCCTCCCTTGTTCCCTCCGACCCTCAGAGTCCCTGCCCACCGGACTCCCTGTCCCTAATCGCGGCCGCGTCAGGGATTCCTCTGTCCTCTCTCCGGGCCTCGGGCAACTGTGGAGACGTCCCAATTGCCTGACCGCTCTCCGACCCGCCGGGCCTCGGGTGATTGTGGAGACAACCCAATCGCCTGACCGCCCTCCGACCTGCCGTGAATTGGAGACTGAGACCAGGGACGCCTCTCTCCCTCTCCATTCACTCAGGGACAGACTGGGGGTCATGGGAACCTCACAATCGAAACCAGATCCTAAGACGCTCCTGGGGTGTCTCCTAGCCAATTTTACAGCCCTCGGTTTTTCCCAAGATCTCCGTTGCCGACGGCTTATTTTCTATTCCACTGTGGCCTGGCCACAATATCCTCTAGACAATCAATCCTGAAGGGACTTTCGATTTTAACATCCTCCGTGATCTAGATAATTACTGCCGCAGGACGGGCAAATTGTCCGAGGTCCCCAGTGTTCAGGCCTTCTGGTATTTGCGCTCCCGCCCCTCCCTTTGCGTCAATTGTTCTACCTCTCAAATCCTCCTTGCCAAACAAACATCTCCTCCATCCAAAACCTCAATCCCCTTGGATTCCTCCCCACTAACCGACCCTCCCGAATCTCTTACCACTCCCCCCTCCAGAGCTCCTCTCCTTCCGCCGTTCGACAGGCCTTTCTCACCCTCCTTAACGCTCTGATATCTTCTCCCCTTTCTCTGCCCAACCCAAACCGACCTTTTCACCTTTTTGTGGATGAACGGGCCGGAATAGCCACTGGACTCCTTGCCCAGCCTGTAGGGCCTTCCTACCGCCCCGTGGCTTACCTCTCCAAACAGCTAGAGCCAACCATTCGGGGATGGCAACCATGCCTTCGGACCAAACAAACACTCAAACTGACTCTGGCCCACCCACTAACCGTGTTTTCTCCCACCGGCTGGTCGACCTTCTAGGCCACAAGTCTCTCTTCCTCCTGGGCCCCTCCCGCATCCAGGAGTTCCACCTGCTGTTCATTGAAAACCCTGCTGTCTCCCTCGACCTCTCCCCGCGCCTAAACCCGGCCTCCCTCTTGCCTATCTCCGATACCGGGACCTCCCCTTCCCACTCCTGCCCCCAAGTCGTAGAGGCCCTGAGCCCACCGAGACAGGGACTCTTTGACACCCCTCTTTCAAACCCGGACCGCACCCTTTTCGTAGATGGCAGCTCAATACTCGGTCCTGACGGACGCCGACGGGCAGCCTATGCGGTGGTAACTATCTCAACTATTACCGAGGCTAACAGCCTCCCAGAAGGGACAACATCTCAAAGGGCTTAACTGATAGCACTCACGTGGGCCCTCGGCCTATCTAAGGGCCAAAGGGCCATCTTTCTCCCTATGGTCGCAGGCATTTCCCTAACCTCCTCTCTCGTTGCTGCGGGCATGGGGGAGGAGCCCTAACACACAGTGTCTCAACATCCCGTGACCTAGAACAGAAACTCCAGCTAGCCATCGAGGCTTCTGCCGCCTCCATCACCTCTCTCCAGCGCCAGATCACCTCAGTAGCCCGAGTTGCCCTCCAAAATCGACGAGCCCTCGATCTCCTGACGGCCGACAAAGGAGGTACCTGCCTCTTCCTACAGGAGGAATGCTGCTATTACATCAATGAAACAGGACTCGTCGAAGACAACGTAAAAGCCCTCCATCGCTTAAGAGAAGAACTCCAACGCAAACACCAACAGTCCGCCTCCCCAATTCCCGATTGGTGGCGATCCACCCTCTATACCTGGCTAACACCAATCTCAGGCCCCTTAATTCTCATCTGTATCTTGCTCATGCTTGCTTCCTGTTTTCTTAGGTTCCTTCGCAGGCGCATGGAGGAAGTCTCTCGGGTGGCCACAACCCAAATGCTCCTCGGCCCTTACACCTTGCTTCCTACAGAACCCCACACTGGCCTCCCCTAAGCCTCGGACCTCTGGTCGCCCGACTCCCCTTTCGACGCCCCCATTCAGCAAGAAGTAGCCAGACATCAGAACGCCGCCCCATTACACCAAAGATGTCGGGATGTAAGGCCAACTGGCCCGAGGCAGGGGAACACAATCAGATTCACAGGTTGCATCAGACCGAAACTCTCCGGACCACCCAGTTCCAGAAACTGCCCTGGGGACTTTGAACCCAGCCCAGCCTTCCCGCCTTTCGAGGGGCGGGAACAACGGTCCCCCAGGATACCCGAAAAGACCACCAAATAAGGAATACCCTGCGCCCTCCCAGATTCACCACACCCCTTTCCCTTCTTCCCCTATAAAATCTTGCCCAACCCTCGCCCGGGTGCGACCTCTCTGGCCCCTTTCTCTCGGACCAGTGAACCTCGCCCGGGAGCGCTCCCTAATAAAGCTCACTTGAAGCTTTCCTCTGTTTCGCGGTGCCGTTTAAGATCCGACATTACACTTATGTGTTACGCAGGTCAGAGACCACGATCTCTTTCAGAGACATGGCAAATTGAGGCCCAGACAAGGAAGATGGCACGGGATGAGGCTGGGATACAAGCCCAGGTCTTTTGACACCTGGGCCAGCGCTCTGTCCTCATCTGATCTCCGCTGCCACCTGGCCTGCCCCCCCTAGGGCCTCTGTTTCCCCCTTTGCACAAAAGACAGTTCCCTGAAGGAGTGTGGGCTTCCTTTGCCCTGCCTGTCACCAGCTCCGCGATGTTGTGGCCTAGAAGAACCCATGGCTGTCGAGAGAGTCAGAGCCACAGCCATGGCCTCTGGATCAAAATAGCGGAGCGTGGGCAAAGGCAGGGCTGAGGGGCTGCCAATCAACTTCAGCCTGGGATTCCTGGGGCCGTCCACCCCATGGGAAACGGGAGCCAAGACCCATAGGGGTGAGTAGGGGGAGGGATGGTGGGCTCCTCCATCCCCTCCTGGCTTGAAGCTTTTCTCAGGATGGGAGAGACAGAATGAAGAAAAACATCTCTCCCCTTCTCATTTCCCTTCCTGATCTTTCCCAGGCAGGGTGGCGACAGCCTGGTCATTTGAGAAGTGGATGAAGCTTACCTGAGGGAAGGTGGTCTGGCTGTGACAGGTTTTCAATCCAGTTTTGCAGCGTTGTGATCATGGTGCCCCCTTGGGGGCCTCTGGGTTTGGACATTGCTCCTTTCTCATGAAGACTGGCTGGGCAGGGCTTTCCTATCATCTCAGGTGATCTTCATAACAATCCTGGCTTAGATCATTGAGGGGCAATTGTTCCCACCCTAGTCTCACAGCTGATGGAAACAGGATGATACTCCTAGGATCCCTTGGCCGCTGAGCTAGGACCAGGGCAGGGCTCCGACCTGGCCCAGGGCTCTATCTCTGGGGCCTTTTATGGAACTTTTATTTGAACCCGCTTTTTGCCAGGTACACCAAGTGTTTTTAGGGTAAAGAAAGGTTTCTCTTTTTCACATTACATAAGAAAAGGAAGGGCATTTTCATCCTCACGTGGTCTTTGGATGGCAGTGAAACATTTTAAAACTTCTCGCAGAGCGAAACCATCACCTGCCTCGGAGCAGCAGCTGCGCTGCGGCCGACCAGGGTTTCTCTGGCCAGAGTTGCTCCCACGGGTCTAGGGCGTGGGGCATATCTTTGCAAACCTCTTCAAGGGCCTTTTTAGCAAAAAAGAAACGAGCATTCTCCTGGTGGGCCTAGACGCTGCAGGAAAGACCACCATCCTGTACAAACTGAAGCTGGGTGACATCGTGACCACCATTCCCACTACAGGCTTCAACGTGGAGACTGTGGAATACAAGAACATCAGCTTCAGTGTGTGGGTGGCCAGGACAAGATCCGGCCTCTGTGGCGCCACTACTTCCAGAACACAGAAGCTCTCATCTTCGTGGTTGACAGCAATGACAGAGAGCGTGTGGGTGAGGCCCGAGAGGAGCTCATGAGGATGCTGGCCGAAGACGAGCTCAGGGATGCCATTCTCCTCATGTTTGCTAACAAACAGGGCCTCCCCAATGCCATGAATGTAGCCTAGATGACAGGCAAGCTGGGTCTGCACTCTCTGTGCCACAGGAACTGGTACATTCAGGCCCCCTGTGCCGCCAGCGGGGACGGGCTATATGAGGGGCTGGACCGGCTGTCCAATCAGCTCCGGAACCGGAAGTGAGTGGTACTCTTCTCTCCTCCCCTCTCACTCCCTCCTTCTACCCTCTCTTTACTCTCATGTGGCAAACGTGCCCCTGGGGTGTGAGTGCCAGGAGCTGTCTCCATGGTCGGTCACAGTGTGCTTCACCACGCTGTAAATGTGCAGACGTGGCCTGCAACTGGGTTTTTATCTAATGTAAATAGTTTCTGTTTCCAGTGAGTCAGTTTCTGGTACTCCTATGCAATATTACTCAGCTTTTTTTTATTGTCAAAATAAAGTCGACCCACTGTTTCGTACTGAGAAGGGATTTTAGGCACACGGGTCATCCAGGAGTCACTGTGTCAGACAAGCCCGATGCTCCTCCCCTGGGCTTTAGATCTGTGTTAAGATCCATTTTGGTGGTTGTTTTTTAACCCAAACTCTGCTTTTTTTTTTTTTCCTTGCGGTATGCGGGCCTCTCACTGCCGTGGCCTCCCCTGTTGCGGAGCACAGGCTCCGGACACTCAGGCTCAACGGCCATGGCTCACGGGCCCAGCCACACTGCGGCATGTGGGATCTTCCCGGACCGGGGCACGAACCCGTGTCCCCTGCATCGGCAGGCGGACTCTCAACCACTGCGCCACCAGGGAAGCCCCAGTGCATTTTTAAAAATAGTTACAAATACAAGATAAGGAGAACACTTGAACACACAGAAGGGAGAAATGTGCCTAGTGTAGGTTCTGCAGTAATGGCCTGAGTCCGGTCCACTAGTGATCTGTTTCCTGTTGGGAACGTGAAACGGGATAGAACCAGCCATGATCCATCTACATGGTCACAGTAGGGTCCCTGTGATTTGCTCTGTCTTGAGTCATCCCACACCCCATAGCGTCTGTGTTTGTTTCTCTGCTTACATAGCCGCCCAGGAGATGGGCTGGTGGCTGCAGCCACCGCTCTCAGACCCCTTGGAGGAACCTCAGCCTTTTCTGGGGTCAGCATGGGCACTTTGTTTGGGATACTCTGGTTTGAGCGGGAGCCCTGCAGTCCTCTTGCTTGCCTGCTCCGGGCTCTCTGGGGTCTCACCAGCAGGAGCGCGGGCGGTCATCCTTGAGCCCCAGCCCTTCGGAGCCCCTGTCCACATGTGCTTTCACTCCCTCAGCCTACAAGGGTCGGATTTGCCATCTAAAAATGATAAGCTCTACTGTTTTCTTTTGTATTTTGATAAACATTGACGAAGCTGGAGCTGTTAAACTTTATCTTGGGGAAAACCTCAGAACTGGTTTATTTGGTGTCATGGAACCTCTAACTGCTTTCAGTACACAATTAGTAATCAACTGTTTTGTATACTTGTTTTCAGTTTTCATTTCGACAAACAAGCACTGTAGTTACAGCTATTAGAATAAAATCTCAGCTATTAAAAAAAAACTTCTTGTAATCAATAATGCCAGGTTTTTATGATAAAGTATTAACTTAAAAATTAAGTCCTGGGGCTTCCCTGGTGGCGCAGTGGTTGAGAGTCTGCCTGCCGATGCAAGGGACATGGTTCATGCCCCGGTCCGGGAAGATGCCACATGCTGCGGAGCGGCTAGGCCCGTGAGCCATGGCCACTGAGCCTGCGCATCCGGAGCCTGTGCTCCGCAACAGTGAGAGGCCCGCGTACTGCAAAAAAAAAAAAAAAAAAAAGGAAAGAAAAAATTAAGTCCTTTGCTTGACTAGCTCCTTTCTCTCCCCTATCCCAGGGCAAAAGACACCAGTCTTCACATATTTTTGTAGTTGTTTTCCTCCCTCTCTCTCTCTCTCTCTCTCTCTCTGGTTCCTTGGCTACCAGAAGCCAGATGTACTCATGCACCTCAAAATAGGTGAATAAAGACTTTGAGTGGTGACTATATTTATTTTGTGATTTCTTTGGCAGTAGCCAGGACTCCATACCTTAGTTTTGCATTGGGGTTTGCAAATATCGAAAGGGTGGATTGGCTCTACTCGGTTTTATAACTGCCTTTCCTGAAATTCTGCAGACATCTCCATTCCCCTGGAGGTCAGATAATGGCTATTTATTTTCCATAGTCATGAAAACCTCTGGGAAGAGCCATGGCAATTTGACAAGGACTATTGAAGGGACATCAGGATTGAAGTGACTGCTCAGGAAATCACATACCCTTGCTCCTATCTGTGGGGACAGCTGCCAGCCGGGCTCTCCTGTCCACAGCCAGCTGTGCACAGGTGCAGCTGGCGAAGGGGAAGAAGCCTTTCTCTCTGCAAGAGGATGGGTGTCCTAAACTCAAATAGAATCGTTCATAACAGCAGCTGACAATTGCTGAGCACTTACTCTGTGTAGCAGGCATGTGCTAAGGATTATCCCACTGAGTAAAATGCATATCCCATCCCTATCCCCACGGCCAGAGGCCAGATGAAGAGGACAGAAGGGACTTAGGTCTCTCTGTAGGAAGGCCAGAGGTCCCTTTCCCTCTGTTTGCAGACCTTCTGGGACGGGAAGCTCACCACCTGCCCCAAGCACGCCATGCATTTTCACACAGTTTGAAACACATGTCCACACTTGGCTAATTAACTGAGCACCCAGAGCGCCTATGAATCCTTCAGTGGTGCCCTTGAAAGTCCATTACTGGGTGTGCCCTCCCTGCTAGAGTGTGAGTTGCAGGAGGGTGAGTGGGATGGGGTGTCTTTCCTTCCATCTGCCCAGCCCCCAGCCATGCTTGGTAACAAGCAGGCGCTTAAGAGAATGCATTGAGGGCGATCTCCAGAGGTGGCCCCCAGCAGGACCCCAGTCTTTCCAGGAAGCATGAATGTTCTGGGGCTGGGGTGAGGGTTCTGGGGAGGGCCCACATAGCTCCCAGGGACCTGCTGCTGTGCCTCTGGGTTTTGAGCTCCTTGGTGAGATTTAGGCAATTTAGGGTCTTAACAAGGGACCCATGTTCTTTCCCAGGGAAGCAGTGAAGGATCTGAGCTGCTCCAGGTGGGCGAGGGACAAAAGGGGAAAAGCAAAAGGCCAGGGCTCCTCCCAAGAGATTCCAAGTTCTGGAGGACAGGAAGCGTGAGGAAACTCACCCTCTGCCCACCTTCACAGCCCAGTTCCCCAGGATAAAGGCAAAGAGACAAGGGGGTGACCTTGAACAAATCACTTAGACCCTCCAGTCTTCTCGTTTCTCATCTGTAAAGTAGAGGCGATAAAGCAACTTTGCAGAGTTATTAGCACTAAATGAAAGAGCCGTTGGAGGGGAGTGTGGAAGTTGACGGTGAGGCCCACGGCATCTGGAACATGGGGGAAGAAGGGTCTCTGGGATGCCTTTTGCCCTCAATGACCTGAGTGAATTCACAGGAAAGAGGAGAAAGGATGATTGTCCTAGAAGGGTTTTGCCCACCTCCAGATAACTGGCTAATTTCCACCTCTCTCCTGCCTGGGTTTAGGGAGCCCATCCTGTCCTCAAGGGAGCAATGACCCCAACTCGGCCTCTGCAGGGAGATCCAGACACGTGGGCGAGGCTCTGCTCCCAGGGCAACCTGCCCTCCTTGGGAGACTGTCCTCCCCCGCAAACTGCAGGGAGAACAAGTCTGTCTCATCTTGACATTTTACCTCTGTAAGGAGCTGGCTAATGCCATTTGAGGAGGTCCTTGGGGTTGAGTGCTGTGAGGAGATAGCAAAGAAGGGGCACCCAGGCCACCCTACTTCCTCCTTTGCCTGTGGCAATCATTGCTGACTCATCACTGCACTCCTACCATCCAGCCCAACCTTGACCTCAGCATCTTTTTCAACAAAAAAGTACAGGCGGGCTTCCCTGGTGGCACAGCGGTTGAGAGTCCGCCTGCTGATGCAGGGGACATGGGTTCGTGCCCTGGTCCAGGAAGATCCCACATGCTGCGGAACGGATGGGCCCGTGAGCCATGGCCGCTGAGCCTGCGCGTCCCTAGCCTGTGCTCCGCAGCGGGAGAGGCCACAACAGTGAGAGGCCCGCGTACCGCAAAAAAAAAAAAAAAAGTACAGGCAACCATACAGATAATTGGAGTTGGCATGTGAGGTGAAACCTACTTGCCAATTTTGCTGTAAGGGAGCTTCCTCTTTTGCCAGAAAGTAACCCAATATTAATAACTGTCTCTTATTGAGCTCTTGTTTCATTCCAGGCATCGTGTCGTGTTTCACGAGCATGAGTATCTTCCGTCCTCACAAGGTCAGGAGGTAGATGCTGTTAGCGTGCCTATTTAATGATCTAATGAGGCATGAGGGAGGTCGCACCTTCATTCACTCAGCAAGTATTAATCGATCACCTCTAGGCGTGGCAGAGGGCACTGAACTGAATTGAGTTCCTGCCACCTTGGAGCTCACATTCTATCGACCAAGCCCCAATTTAAAAGATACTGTTCATGCTTTGTGACCACCTAGAGGGGTGGGATAGGGAGAGTGGGAGGGAGACACAAGAGGGAGGAGATATGGGGACATATGTATATGTACAGCTGATTCACTTT